ACCAATTACGTCTTTGCCCCCGCCTCGTTGCCCACTGCCACTGTGGCCGTGCGCCCTACCGCGGCGACGAGGTCCCCAGATCCCACAGCGGCGTCTAGTTGAAGACGGACTTTTCTAAAACATAACGCACATTTTTGGACGCATGGGGCCTATCTTTATCCAGTGATCACGACTGCATTTCGTTAAAAAAGCACGTATGCATTAAATCTACGTCTCCCGACAGCGAATAATTAATACATAGACGAACTGGGTTTAAGTTTCATTTGTTCTTCTCCCCGTCCACTACTCATTCAGAGGATACCTTCGTCGACCCTCCGCGTGTGCCTGGCAGAGGAATGCGCGCAGCGGCGGCCACTCTATCCGCCGCCCGAATCGGTCGAATTGCACTGCAGCCGCTCGCAACACCACCGGGGACTTGCGAAACAGAAGTCGAGAAACGGGCCAAGACGAAGGCAGGGTGCCCCGCCTCCGATGCGAGAGACGGCCTGGACGTCAATGGGCAAGATGCGTCTAAAAATTCTCGAGCGCGGGGGTTGGGCCTCCGGTCCGACTGGTGACGACAGATGCTTCCCCGAACCACTGGGCCCGCGGCCTTCGCCGCCGCCCGGCGCCAGCCAGAATTTGGTCGGGCATGCCCCCCTGCAGGCAAGGCTCGGACGAAACATCCCCCCCCCAGCAAAAAGGCCACACACATACTTTTAAGACATGCTAGGAGCATCGCCCCAAAGCCAATCTTCTACTCTCTGTGAGTCTTCGACATGCCCGACTTCCCGCCAGAAGCTGAGCCGCGCGCCGCCGAGGCCGCCAGCAGCCGCTCCCCGCCCCGCCCGCCCGCGCCAGCGCAGACCGCAGGGGCGGCCACCGCGCGCGGCGGCCCGGGCCGCTCGGGCGGCCGCGCCCTCGGGGGCGTCAGGGCCGCAGGGCCGGGCTGCTGCCACGCGGCGGCTCGCGCGGGGGGCGTGTCCGCGGCGCGCGGCGCCTCCGCGGCCCGCGGCCGCCACGCGGCGGCCCGAGCGCGAGGCGTCTCCGCGCGGGGCGCCTCCGCGGCGCGCGGCCGCCGAGCGCGCGCGCCGCGCGGCGCCGCCGCGGCAGCGGCGGCGCCCGGGCTGTGGCCGCGCGTGCCTCGGCGCTGCGCGGCGCGGGCGGCGCCGCGGCAGGGCGCCCCGCCGCGCTCTGGGCGCGTCGCCTCCGCCTCCCCGGGAGAACCCCGAGTCGAATCGGCGAGCCGGATCGGCGATCGATCGAAGGGAGCCGGAGCGGCGGACATCGGCAGCCGAAGCGGGAAGCATCGGGTCGACCGAAATTGGGAGGCTTGCAGGCCACAATTGAGAAAGCAGAGCCCAGATCGGAATCCCAAGCCGAATCGAGTCGGAATCGGACGACATCGAAGTCGAATAGAACATCGGAGGCATCGAAACGAGCCCTGCGGCTCCGCCTCCCAGGGCGCGGGCCCCAGCGACCGGTGGTGCCAGTGGGTGCGCCCACCAGCGCAGGTGCGGCTGACCCAGTCCTCGTAGGCGAAGGGAAAGCGCAACAAACACAAACGTTTGCCGCTCCGCACGGCTTTCTTGGACCTGCGCCGGACCCCCCTCCCTGGCGAGCGGAGCGCGTTAGGGGCGCCGCTGGAGGCGCCAACGGAGTGGGGCCCAGCGCGGATCCAAGAAATCTGCGCGGAGCGTTCAAAGTTTCTGCTCGCAGTGGAGGCCAGTCCACCAGAAACCTTCCACAAGAGGCCCAACCCTGAGACCCCTGGACGTTCATTGACCTTGGGGCTGGGAACGTCACGCTCTCCACCGCAGAACTGTCGACACCCAAGAACGCCAGGGGACCCTGGAGGCCACCAGGGTGTCTCCTGGCATGGGCCCCCCACTGTACGGCGCTGGTTCTGCTGCGTCCTCACTGAGCAGGGACCGACCGTCCCGGCATTCCTATAGACCTACCACGAGATGTTCCTAGAACCCAAAAGTATGCTCTAAGAACAAAAACAATTATCCCGGCAAAGCAACCTAACAGCGATGTGTAGAAGCATATCTGAAAGCATTCCCCTTAAGATTCAGATGAAAATCCAGTTGTATAATTCTGCTGTTCTCGCAGTCGTAGTCGCATTCGCGATGACAGTCGCAGCGGCAACGGCAGTCGCAGTCACAGCCTCAGCCTCAGCCTGCCTCAGCCTCAGCCTCAGCCTGCCTCAGCCTCAGCCTGCCTCAGCCTCAGCCTCAGCCTGCTTCAGCCTCAGCCTCAGTCTGCCTTCAGCCTCGGCCTCAGCCTCAGCCTGCCTCAGCCTCAGCCTGCATCAGCCTCAGCCTCAGCCTCAGCCTGCCTCAGCATCAGCCTGCAGCCTCAGCCTCAGCCTCAGCCTCAGCCTCAGTCTGCTTCAGCCTCAGCCTCAGTCTGCCTTCAGCCTCGGCCTCAGCCTCAGCCTGCCTCAGCCTCAGCATCAGCCTGCCTCAGCATTCAAAATGTGGCCCAGGAATGGAGTTTGGGAACTAGAAGAACACGAAGTTGCCTACAGTTGGCTCCGGGCATTCAAAATCATGCCCAGGAATGGAGTTCTGGGAAGTCGAAGAGCACGAAGTTGCCTACAGTTGGCTACGGGCATTCAAAATGGCCCGGGAATGGAGTTCTGGGAACTCGAAGAGCACGAAGTGGCCTACAGTTGGCTCCGGGCATTCAAAATGTGGCCCGGGAATGGAGTTCTGGGAACTCGAAGAGCACGAAGTGGCCTACAGTTGGCTCCGGGCATTCAAAATGTGGCCCGGGAATGGAGTTCTGGGAACTCGAAGAGCACGAAGTGGCCTACAGTTGGCTCCGGGCATTCAAAATGTGGCCCGGGAATGGAGTTCTGGGAACTCGAAGAGCACGAAGTGGCCTACAGTTGGCTCCGGGCATTCAAAATGTGGCCCGGGAATGGAGTTCTGGGAAGTCGAAGAGCACGAAGTGTGTGACTGTTGGCTTAAAACGACTTCTGCGGCACCCTGTCCGTCACCCGCCCAGACCCCCCTGTGGAGTCATCTGCTGCTCTCTTTTGAGACTACTAGAAACCTATCAGTCTTCGCTGTTAGGTAATGTTCTCAGAACATGAACCCGCTGTGCTGAAACAAGACAAATCTCCGCCAGAAGCGTTCCAAGAACATTCCGTGGAGACCACAAACGGTTCTCAGAACACTGCTTGGTGGGGCTATGGGCGAGTCGGGTCGGGCGAAAGGGGGGGATAGCAAAGGGGGGGTTTGAGAATCAGCTCACGTAGCTGATTTTCCCGGCGTCTCCCGGCGCCGGGAGGCACCCATGTATCGAGGAATGGGCCCCTCGGCGGGGCCGAAACCAGCTGCATGCAGCAGATTTCGTAACCCCCCCTTTCCCAATCCTTCCCTTTCGCCCGGCCCGAGCGAGCCAGGACGCTTTGCGACTGTCTGATCCTCGGGCGCGGCGTCGGGGCCGAGCAGGGCGTCGCCCTCCGCGGCGCCGCCCGCCGGCGCGAGGCCGCCGCCGCCGCCGGCAGCGGCCACCGCGCGCCCTGCGACCTCGGCGTGCCGAGGCCGAAGGGGGGCCCAGGGGCGCACACACAAAGACGCACGAGTCCCTGGAGTCCCCCATGTCGATTCCCAGACGTTCTGGATGTGCGTCTTCCCCCCCTCTCCCCATAGTGTCCCATGATTTCCCAGGAGTCCCCATGTGTATTCCCATACTTTCTGGGTGTGCGTCTTCCCCCCCACTTCCCATACTGTCCCATACATTTTCCAGGGGATTGACGATGCATGGTGTCTGTGTTTTTTTTTGTTTCGGCGGTGGACAAACCTCCCTTTAGCAAACCTCCCCTCAATGAAAACGGCCTGGGACCGAAACCGACGGATCTGGACCCGCAAAAATGACGGCTGCGACGCCCTCTCGCGAACCGAAAACGGCCAATTCCTCAATCGACGTGTCAGGGTAGGAGGTCTATCCACCTCCGATTTTTCCGCTCCTGAAACATCTGGTCCGCGAAAGGAGGGGCCGAACTCCCCTGTGGCAACGCATGGGGGCCTCCCATACCACCTTGCTGGCTCCTGGTAACCAGCGCCAACCGACACGCTGACTCGACGCTGCTCGACGTCAAATCGGCGCGACCTCATCCATTACCAAACGCTGATCCACGCTGGTGCACTCTAAAGACTGATTTGCGAGGGCACGCCAGGCTTCCATGATCTGCTACCGAAGAACGCCCTGCACATGTCATAATGATTGCGAGTGCACAGGAAGGAGCATCGCAATGAACACCCCTCCAAACAAACGAAGCGCACCTGAAGAACTCGAAATGAGCAGTACTGTACATTGAACCTCCAGGACTGGTTAGCAAACGCCTTCCAAAGGGGTCGGGTAGTTTATTCATAATTCGAGCAGGGCCAGTACGCGAGAGGATCTCTGCATGGGGTCTGGAGTCCGGGGCGAAGCAAAAAAAATGGCGGCGGAGGATTCGTTCATAGATCTGAGGATCCTCCTCATCCGTCGTTTTCCGGGCCATGACTCGAGCCCCAGACTGCCGTCCGTCACGATGGCGGGCTCCCCAGAAGGCTGTCGACGAAACACGACTGACGGAAAATGTACCACAACGCCAGAGACGAAAGACCCCAGGAGATCCCAAGAAATGTTGAAAGCAAACAAATACGTTTGAGAAGGAGGCAAAATGAAGGGAAAGACAACAATCACCATGATAAAGACTGAACGCGGAAACCTCGGTGCAGAGCTTCGTCGTCGCCCGAGCTTGGTCGTCGTCCATCTTGGTCATCGTCAACTCGTGTATCATCCTCGCCGATTGGCGGCGGCCGGCATGGACTATTATCAAGATCGGCGTAGACGAGATCTCGCAACTTTGGGTCACGGTTACCTCTCATTTGGGGGTCGTTACAGGAGCCCCTGGCCCAGGGTGCCCCCAGCTGTTCGCTCAATGTTGGAGCCCCGTGGGCTCTCTCTGCCTCGTGAGGGGTGCTCCTTGGAGGCCTTGGGGGGCCTCCTTGGAAATCCTGGGGGCACCTTGCTTGGGCCAGGAGCACTTCTTGCAACACCCGGCTCATCGCGCCTCTCCCTCGAAGGAAGGATGCCGGGGGACCGCGGCGTCGACTGGCGCCACCAGCCCACCGACGTCAACGGGCTTGTCCTGAGGAGGCAGAAAAGACTCGGGTAGGGGATCGACTACACCTCCAAATTGACTTGCCCCAGAATAGATTTCCTCAAATTTGTTCGCCGAATCCGTGAGCCATGCGCAACTTCTCCGTAGATCTACATACATGTTACAATCGGACCTAAGCCAGAATAGCATCCCTCAAGAACATGGAATCCCCGGTCCGCCAACACACAACACACAGAGCATCTTAAGGTACTCTCCCCAGGATGCATTGGACCATCCAACAAGCACGAATAACATCAAAAAAGCCTCCCCGAACCGACCCTGATCTTCTACATCGGTCCGACCGTATACATGATTCATAGATTTAACGGGAAAGTCAATTTCGGGGTACATCGATTAGGAAATCTCGAGAAACTTCTGACCTGGGTCAATCCAGGCCTGGGTCAGTCAGGCCTTGCAGGACCATGCAAGATCCTGCAGGATCCTGCAGGATCCTGCACCCAAGCCCGGGTCAATGCACCCCTGGGCCTGAAGGATTCTGCAAAATCCGGCCCTCTCTTGAGCCCCTATCGTCGAGCCCCTACGCGAAAGACACCGGCACTGGCCACGCGCTCCCGCCAGCACCCCGAGGCGCGACGGTCTCGCCGCGGCGACGCGGGGGGCCGCGTCACTCGATACCTCGCCGCGGCGACGAGGGCGCCGCGGCGCCGCCGCACTCACGCGTCGATGCTGCGTCGAGCACCCGTCGGCTTGAATCGGGCTCGAGTCGACATTTAGGTGCGAATTAATGGGGGGCGATCAGTGGGGGGGTGAAAGGTACCCTCTTCGAGCCCTGAAGGCCCCCTTTAGGGCCCGAAGGGGCCCCCTCAGGGGCCCTACAGGGCTCCCTTCAGGGGCCCCTTTCTGGAGCCATCGCTGCCCCCCCCCCCATTTCATTTATGCCCCCCACCACTACTCGCCCCCCATCCGTCGACTTGAATCTCACGCGGCCTCATCTCTATCAAAGAGGTGTCGTGGCCGAAACTGTGCCCGAAGATCGGCCCGAACTTGACAGAAACAGGCGCCCGAAGTTTTCCGGCCGCGCCGCGAGTGTGACCGAAATGCGTTGTTTCGAAACCAAGACGGCTGTCAATTTCGGTAACATGTTCGGCCACATTACGTTTTCGGTCGCCGATTTGTTTCGGTCACCTATCTTTTCGGCTGATAGGGGCAAGGTCCGGGCTTGAATAGAACTAACGTCGGACTAGAGCCGGGCAAGAGTCGGACGATTGGGGGGCAAATAAGAAACATCAGAACGCGAAGGTCATCGAGGATTTCTCTGCTCGGCGCTGGACTCCCCTCCCTGGCGTGCGATGCGCGCCAGGGGCGGCGCAGGAGGCGCCGCCAGGGGGGCCAGCACCGATCCAAGGAACCCGCGCGGAGCTCCGAAAGCTTGTGCTTATGCCGCCGTATCTTGTTCAATAAAGGGCACGGCGGTCTCTGGCGGTTTCTGGCGGTTTTCGGCGGCTTCCCGCGCGAAAGGTGGAGGGTTGCGTTGAACAAGGGCTCCATGAGCGACCACGTAAGGGAGGGGCGGTATGGGCTCCCCGGATCGCAGAAGAGGGAGAGGTTCTGAGGAACAGCCCGGCGGCCTCGCGCGACAACTTCAGACCCAAAAAATTACGCCGGATTCACGTCGGGTTCATGTCGGGATCACGTCGGACCTCGGACCCCGACTGGGAGCCCTCGATGAACCCTCCCGGGCCCGTACAAGATCGATGTCCGACGGCCCTGGGGCCCAAAACGGGATCCAGGAAACTGAAAATGCAGACAGACTGTCGAACGTCTGAAGGGAGTATCGGTACGTGCTTCTTCTCCGAAATCTTCCCACCGAAGCCCAGCTCCCATCCTGGATAGTTTTCGAACGCTCCTGGAGCACGAAAATGGAGCCACGAGACCGACAAGGGCGCAAGACGCTCGCCACGATTTTGGCCGAAGATGCTGGAGGCCTGTGCACCAGAAGCCAAATTCTCCCCAAACATCCCGCCACTCGATCGCCGTGCGAACCCCGGACCCATCCCGGGTTCCACCCTGGCCAACTGCGAGGCAAGGATTAATCCGCCGACTACCGCCAGGGAACCGACCTCCAGGCACCCCAGCGGGAGGTGGCTATGGATCAAGTTGGGCCCCAGGGAGGCCGAATATATCCATATGCACCGTCTGCCGAGGTCCCAGATGATCGATCAGTTTGAGGGGCAACGATCGGGGAGGAAGGGGTGTAGGCGGGGAATCACCGAACTGGAATCGGCCGTCAGTGGACGACTGGAGGTCGATGCATCCCCTCCGATACCCATCACCCCTATCTAGACAAGCGCGCTCCTATACTCGCAAAGTAACTACTCGCAGATGGCCTGGATCCGCCGCGAGGGACTTACGATCCATTACAAAGCGGCGAACGAGCGTTTTGCTGACGTCTGCGAGTAGGCACTTGTGACTATCGCCCTACGCCTACAGGCTCGGAAGAAATGAACGAACCCTCGGATCGCATTCATCCGCCAATGCCTCCCATCCCAATGTGCTCAATGATGGCGGCGGGCCTGATGACTTGCACTTAGACCGCGGTCTTCCCCGCGTGTGCAACCCTTGAATTCAAAGGAAAAAACTGTCTCCATGAATTGTTTCCCTCTACCGTATTAGGGGGGCGGAAATGACATAAATGACATAAACATAAAAACTCAGAGGTTCGCACGGATTCCTCGGATCCGCGCTGGACTCCCCTCCCTGGCGCGGAGCGCGCCGGGCGGCGCCGGAGGCGCCGCCAGGGGGCCCCAGCGCCGATCCGATACATCCGCGCGGGCCTCAGAATTTTCATGTTTATGTCATTGTTCGTTCCCCTAGGCACAGGGGATGTCCATACATTGTTTCCCGCTAACGTGTTTCCCTCTGGGCCTGACCCCCCTATCGTTGCCCGTCGAGTAGGGGATCGACTGCAGAATTGACGTACCCCAAACTTGATGTCCCGTGGAATTGTCGCAAGTCGACTGTGAATTCTGAGTGTTGTTCTGTAGGCTCCAAGAGAAAACTAATCCTGGGGCAAATCGATTCTGCAGTCCATCCTCTGCTCGACCCTGGAGGTTCCACCCTGGCCAGCGCTTCGTCCCTGGGGCAAATCGATTCTGTAGTCCATCCCCTACTCGACCCTGGAGGTTCCACCCTGGTCCTGTATCGTTTGTGCCCACGGCTCCTCCGAGGCCGTAGACCCCCCCCCCCTCCGAGCCCGACGCGACGGCCCGACGCACCCCTCCGCCGCTCCTCAAGGCGGGGGCGCCCAAAAGAGGAGGGGGCGCCCCGAGAGGAGGGGGCTCGCAGACCACGGCGCGAGGCATGTGCGGGGGCGAGGGGGGAAGACCAGCTTGGAAGCCCGAAGCGGGTACTGAAAACATGGGTACCATGCCCGACAACGGCTTCATTGTCCAAAACCAACAGCGGCCGCTGTTGGGCAGGCGGCCTTCTGTCTCGAACGGACACGGTCCGCGGCGACACCGACACCGAGTCCGATTCAAATGAGCATGAACTGCCGTCGGTCCTTGGACCCATTCTTTCCTTACTCGTTTCGATCGTCCCGAGCCAGGGTACGCGTTGAAAGAAGAAGCATTAGACGAATACCAACAACAACACCACCACCAACAACAACAATGACAACAATAGGGACAACATCATTAATACTAAGAATCAAGAACATAAGGCAAATAGGCAAAGTAAAACAGCAAATAATAAAAAACGATAAGGGCACTGACATCTAGTGAGGTTCCCTCCTGGCCGCTCCCGGCCTCCGCCCGAGGCGTCGGATTCACGCCCTCCTTATCTCCCCTGGCGTCTGACAAGAAGCAGCACGTCTGAAGCAGTCCCGGACGGCGCCGGCGCGCGACTCGCGACGCGACCGGCACCCTCCCCTCTCTCCCAACTCCTCTGGTCACGATCGTTACCGCCAGGAGAAAAAAGGTTGTTGTTTTGCGCCAGCGGCTAGGCAGAGTCACCGCGCTTGCGGAAGAGCTACCCAAGCGGGGGCAAGAAGCCACAACGCAAGGACAGGGGACGAGAAAGGCAGGGCGGCCGAAGGAGGGGGCGGAGGAGCGAGGGCCGCTCCGGGGGACCCAGGAGGAGGGGCAGCAGATCCCCAACTGCACGGGAACAAGCAATGACATGACCAGTAAAACTCGGAGGTCCGCGCGGATTTCTCGGATCGGCGCTGGACCCCCCTCCCTGGCGCGCGGAGCGCGCCAGCGGCGGCGCCAGATTCGCCGCTAGGGGGCCCCAATGCCGATTCGAAAAATCCGCACGGACCTCAGAGTTGTTATGTTTATGCCATTGTTCGTTCCCCCAAACTGGGGCCGTGGGATGGTGGGGCTCGGGAAGGTAATGAGGATGGGGATTGGCATGATGGGCGAATTTTCCACCTCCGCTATCATATGTAGGACAGGGGAGATCTCCTTCTCCTCCTCCACCTCCTCCTCCTTCTCCTACCTCTGGTACGTGGTGGTGGAAAATGGGCCCACTATGGGATCGGGCAAACGACACAGACATCCCCGCGCGTCCAGCCACTCGATCGCCGTGCTCACCCTCTCCTCAAGCCGCGCGGCCGCGGCCGCCAGGCCCCGCCCCAGCGCGCCGCCGCCGGCCCCGCGCGCCCTGCCGCCGCCGCCGGCCCGCGCCGCGGCCAAGAGGACCTCGGCCGCCGCTCGGCGCCGCCGCTGTCTCCTCCTCACCGTCCTCGTCCTCGTCCTCGTCCTCGTCCTCCTCCTCCTCGTCCTCCTCCTCCTCTTCGTCCTCCTCCTCCTTGTCCTCTTCCTCGTCCTCCCCCTCCACCTCCTCCTCCTTCGGCCTCTCCCCCCCGCCCCCCCCGCACCTGGTGGAGAAGCCGTGAGCCGTCCGCTGCCGCCGACGCCGTGGCCAGCGCCGCTGTCCGCGTCGTCCGTCGCTGCCTGCCGTCGTAGCTGCTGTCCTCGCCGCCGCCGCCGCTGTCGCCCCGCCGTCGCGCGTCGCTGCCCGCGTCGTCGACGTCGTCTGCTGTCGCTCCCGTCGCCGCCGACGAACGAGAGGCCTGGAAATGGCTACGAGCTCGCCAACGCACCTCTGAGACCCTCCGAGCCTCCGGATCTACCCACCGTGACGTCCAAGATAACCCAAATGGTGTGTAAGATGGCTCAAAGAAGATTCCAAGACGCCGGGTAGGCCTCCAGAATATCCGATATGGCCTCGTAACGGCCCAAGAGGCCCCCCAAGGACGCCTCAAGAGGGCCTAATCCCAACAGGCCCTGGGCTTGAGTGGTTTAGGGAGGTTCCTCTTCCACTCCCTAGCCCCTTCTCCTGCGTTTGGCGGGGGGGAGGGTGGAGAGGGGTCGCGACCTGTTGGAGCGCCCAAGATGGCCACGGCGAGGAAGCCCATAATACTACTTTGCTAAGGTTTGGTCACATGTGGGCCTCCTGGGGGGGACCCCAGTTGAGGAACTCTTCTCCTTTTGATCGATCACTTCCGAGATGGACCGAAGATGGCTCCCGAAGCTCCCAAGAGTGGCCCAAGAGGGCCACCAGATGCCCCAGGAAGCCCCAAGATGCCCCAAGAGGCTCGCAAGAGGCCCCCAACAGGCTCCCACGAGACCCCCCCAAGACGCCCCAAGAGGCCTCCCAGAGGCACCAAAGGCACCCCTACAGGCCTCGGCGAGACGGCCAACATCATTGATGCTACTGAATTCTTGGCCACATTTGGGCATCCTTGGGGGGGCGGTCATAGCTCCTCCTTTTGACCGATCTCCTCCATGATGGCCCCCGAGGGCCCCAAGGGGTCCCCCAAAACGGCGCCAATAGGTAAGGCGGCCCCTTGAGGCCCCCAAGAAGCCCCAAAGATGCCGCGAAGAAGCTCCCAAGAAAACCTCAAGAAGCCCGAAGAGACCCCCCAGAGGCATCCAAGGCAAGAGCCCCCCCCCAAGAGGCACCCAAGACGCCCAACAAATCCCACGGGACTACCAAGAGACCCCCAAGACGCCCCAAGAGGCCTCCAAGAAGCTCCTTCCGCATCCTTCCTCCCCCTCCTTCCTCCCCCTCCACCTCTCCCTGCTCCTCCTTCTCCTCCTGCTCCTCCTCCATCTCCAGCCTCCCCCTCTTAGGATATGACGTCTCACCCAGCCATTGATTGCACTGCATGTTCCTCCAAATCCCGGATCAAGGCAACTCGCCTGGGCATCGTGTCTGGATGGGCTGATGGGGTGAAGCGAAGCGTCTAGAATATGGTTTCCAAAAGGACCTGAAGAGAAAAACACAATAATGGATGACTCAGTGGTTGTTATATGTCCGTTTTCTCGCATTTTCGGGCTTCTGAAATACTAATAGGGCCTAAGGGGCCCCAAGCAGGCCGAAGGCATCCCGAGAGGCCCCAAGAGGGCCTAGAGACGGCCCAAGATGGGCCCCAAACTGTCCAAGGAACTTCCAAGACGGGCCAACAAAAGCCGCCGTGACGGTCCCAACGCGGGGGAACTCTAATTGGCCTTGGAGGCCCTCCTCCACAAGTGCCCCCCAACAAGATCCCCAGCATGTACCCAAGAGGCCTCTAACAAGCCACAATCAACAAACCACTGGGAAACCTGAAAACATATTCCAAAAGCCCACCCCCAAGACATCCAAGTCCCCGCAGAACCCCCGCCACACAAGTGAGCAGAAAGAAGGACCACTCAGCAACGACTACACGTAAGCGTGAGTCTCTCGACATCCTTGCATGCTCCCTGGGCCTCTCCTTCCAAGACTGGTGGGCCGTCTCACTGCACCGACCTTGCAGCCGTGCTGCAGCGGATTTTGGCGTGGATACAGTAGACGGGTCTGACCTTTCTCAGACCCTGTCCTGCGCCGAGCGCAACGGCCGCGTTGTCTACGGGCGTGTCCACCCCGAATGCGTCCACACACGTGACGACACCCAGCGTGTCTATGACGCTCGTGGCTCCAGAGCGAGAGCGGAAACTATTGAGCACAATGCCCCCCCCCATCGGGCGCGCCGTAGGGGGCGGGAAGGAGAGGGGGGAAATCGTTTTTGATTTTTGGGCGATCGCCCGAGTTACAGTGGAGGCCCGTCCACAAAAAACCTTCCACAAGAAACCCAACCCTAAGACCCACAGACGTCCATTGATTTTTGGTGTACGCTCTCCATAGCGAAACCGTCGAAACCCAAGAAACCAGGGCACCCTGGAGGCGAACAGGGTGTCTCTTGGCATGGGTCCCCACTGTATCCAAGGGGGGAGGGGGGGAAAGGGGGGGGGGAGGTGCCGGCCGGTAGCCTGGCCCTTTCGCTCTGGGCAGCCCCGCACGCACCACTGCTGCGCACCCCCCCTCGGGCCCTGCGCAGGAGACGAGGTCCGGTGATCTTGGGGGGGGGGGAGGAGGAGGCAGGGGCGGGCCCGAGATCCGGGGTTCTCGCCAGACCCCTCTCGAGACACTCTCGGGGCGAGCCGTTGCCCGAGGCACGTGCGCGGACGAGGGGGGGCCCAGGGGAAGTGCCGAAGGCAGCGGAGGGGGGCCGTGGTCGCCGCCTCTGGGGAGACCGGATGCCGACACCGCTGCTCCTGGGACCTCCCCTGGGGTGGCGGCATCGGTGCCGTCCCCTCCCCCGAGCGATGGCCCCAGCCGTGGCATCCGCACGCCCCCTCTCGCACGCCCACGAACCGACCTCGCGCGCGAGACGCCACGGACCGCTGACCACCAGCCCCCCCCCTAGAGGCCTCGTCGAAAGGGTCCGAGTAGATGGGGTCGGAAGATCGCGCCGTGTCGCCGATACGTCGGCGATGTATCGGCGATGCTTCAACGATGCATCGCCGACGTCGGCGATGTATCGTCGACGTCGACGTGAAGACACTCGGACCCCACGTCGAGCCGCATCGGCGATGCATCGGCGATGTGGCGTGATCCTCCGACCCCCTCTGCTCCGACCCCATCTAGGAGGCCCAGACCCCCGCCCCCTCCCTGCACGCCCCCAATCCGACCTCGCGCGCGAGACGCCGCGGACCGCGGACCGTCAGCCCCTGTCGCCCTGCAGTGTCGAGTCGGACTCTGCAACCTTTGACGTTGGCTGATATCATGGGCATCCTAATCCTGACTTCGATCCTGTCCCCAACGACCTCGTCCTCTTTGTCCTCTTTGTCGTCCTCCTCCTCCTCCTGCTCGTCCTCCTCCCCGCCCCCTTTTTGCCGCTCGACCCCGGGGGGTGGCCGGGCCTCCTCCGGGTCGGCGTCCACGCTGACGACTGGGGGAAGCGAGGGGGCGGGCCGTCGGAGGGGGTCGCGGAAGGGGCCGCTTCCGGGGCGGGGACGGGAGACTCGCAGGGGGGGCGAAGATGCCATAGCATTGCAACGCTCGAGAAGGAGAGGAGGAGGAGGAAGAGGAGGAGGAGGAGGAGGAGGAGGAGGAGGAAGAGGAGGAGGAGGAGGAGGAATAGGAGGAGGAGGAGGAGGAGGAAGAGGAGGACGAGGAGAAGAGGAGGACGAGCAGGAGCAGGACGAGGAGGATTGGGAGGAGGAGGAGGAGGAGGAGGAGGAGGAGGAGGAGGAGGCGGAGTGGGAGGAGGATGGGAAGGGGGATGGAGGGGGAGAAGGAGGAGGAGCAGGAGGAGGAGGAGAGGAGAAAAAGGAGAAGGAGGAGGAGGAGGAGGAGAAAGAGGAGGAGAAAGAGGAGGAGGAGGAGGAGGAAGAGGAGGAGGAGAAGGAGGAGGAGGAAGAGGAGGAGGAGGACGAGCAGGAGCAGGAGGAGGAGGATTGGGAGGAGGAGAGGAGGAGGAGGACGAGGAGGAGGACGGGAGGACGAGGAGGACGAGGAGGAGGAAGAGGAGGAGGAGGAGCAGGAGGATGAGGAGCATGAGGAGGACGAGGAGGAGGGGGAGGAGGAGGAGGCAGAGGAGGAGGCGGAGGAGGAGGAGGTGGAGGAGGAGGAGGCGGCCGAGGAGGGCGAGGACAAGAGGGGACAAGGGAAGCCCAGGAGGACCATACCAGGGCAGCGCCCCCCCAGAACCATGGCATATGGAAGGAGGAAAGGCCACAAAACGATGGAGGAAGGCAGAGATATGGGGTAAGGAGAAGCAAACATGATGATTCTACATATACAAGAATTAGAGAACTGGACGAGAGGGAAAGAAACATGTTCCGTACGCGGATGCGAAGAGCAATACATCAGGTGCGAAATCAAGTCTGAGAGCGGGCGCTCTGATGCACCCCTGGAGCCCAACCGGCCGAGAAAGCAGGACAGCTGGCATAGGCAGGGCATGTGGGTGACAAAGAGGCAGGAAGGATTATTTTCGAGCCTGGTGTTGAAATAGGTCCGCCGTGACGCTAAACAATTGCAGAAACGATACTCGACCGACCGCGCCTTCGAAAAAAAGGTGTCTGCAGCAGGGAACGCAAAAATTGCATGCCAGGGGCGCTATGCGAACCGCACTCATGAACGATGGGGTGCTCTTCTGACCACACCCCTCAACAAAAATAACCAGCCTGCTGCGAGCGCGCGCCATGCCTGTGAGGCACGACGCCAAGTAGGACACCCGGCGAAACTCGTTGAGGTCTGAATTCGCCACTGAATCGATTATTACCGCCCGCGCCCATGTGTGGTCGAGCCCCCCAGGCGAGGAGGTGTTGCATGTTGCTGGTGCCCCCACCTGCGCCCATGCTAGAAACGTGGCAGCCATGCCCACTCCGATGGCCTACCATCCCGAGTCTAGCTCACCCCACGTGTCGCAGAGATGGTGGGGGCCAGATATCCAACAGCGGCGTTGTTTGGGGAATGTGCCCCCGAACCGCTGGGGAAACTTGCCCAAGATAGGTTGTCCCTCATCTTCGTATTTGGCGTATACTTCCGTCGCGACGTTGTTGTGCCCTACACGCTCGCACCATCCCGTGACTCAACCACGGGGGAGTTTCTAATACGTTGCGTTGTCACTGTGCTGGACACCGCTAGTTGCGCGATCGCGATAAGGGTTGCGCATCGGGACTCTGCCTCGCCAGGCTGCAGGGAATTGGTGTGCAAGGTGAAAGGTCGTTGGCCAAGGAAAGGACTATGTTTCTCCCAGTCCTTAATTGCTGTCCCTCGGAATGCTGGCGACACGGTCGCCAGTTATTCCTGCCGTCTCCCCCTAGGGCTTTCGTGACACAACCACCAAAAGCTCGGGACCCTTCACTGACACCGTAGATGTGCACGTTGTGTCGAGCGACTGTCTGACATTTGTGGCTACGCCCACAGGAGGGTGCATTGACAGCGTGGGGTCCGCGAGCTGCGCTGAGGTAGTCAACGCAAACCCAGAAGGGGGATTGCTGAGAGTTCCGGCGCGCAGCCAGGGCCCCTGTAGGTGTCGTGGTGGTTGATGTATGTGTGAGTCTGTCCCGTCGCGAGTCCTTGCGGGTGGGCGGACGCCACAGCGGACCCGACAGTAACGACGTACCCTGCCACGGCAAGCGGGGAAAAAAACGATGAAAGCATATGTCAGGCGGGACGACCAACCGGATGTAGAGCGGCACGATGCAGACCGGCGGGGAGTTGGAGCCTGCGCTGCCGAAACAAAGCGAGAAAAACAGTCATTGCGGCCGTGGCATTGGCATTGAATCGAAGCTCCGCTACAAACTGGAGAAATATGATGCCACAATCCTGTCCATGCGCGGATGGACCAGCAATTCGGGTCTAAAACCAAGTTTAAGAGCGGGCGCGCTAGGATGCATCCCTTGAGCCAAAGCGGCGGAGTCAGCAGGACAGCTGGCATAGGCAAGGTATGGGGTGAGGAGAGGCAGGGAGGATCCCGTTCGAGTCAAGCTCCAGGGTGGAGGGGAGTAGAGGAGAACGAAGAAGGGGGATGAAAGTGGGAAGGGGGACAGGGCAGATGACAAGACGAAGGAAAAAAGGAGCTGGAGCAGCAGCGGCACATGAGGAAGGAGAAAGGAGGTAAAACGTGGCGGTGGCAGGCTTGGGAGAAGGGGCGCAGGGGCTGGGGAGAAAAGGCGGGCGAAGGCCCGTCTGGAAAGAGACAGGAAAATAAAAGGAAGGAACATGCTCAAAGAGGAAAGGAGGAACGGTAGGAAGCCACTGGGGGGAGGCATAGCGACAAATTGAAGAAAGGGAAGGCGAAGAGATTTGGGGAACAGAGGGCAACAGAGCTACAACGGGCGGTACGCCAAGCACGTGGAGAAGCAACCAAGCAACAGGAAGACACCCGGATTGAGAGAGAGAGAGAGAACGAGAGAGACATACACATAGATGTATAAGCCAACGTATGATGAAACATCAAAAGGGAGGGAGACATAGAGAGAGAGAGAGAGACAGAGGGGTACACGTGTGTATGTATATATGTATATATACATATATATATATATTGAGAGAGAGAGAGAGAGAGAGAGAGAGAGAGAGAACGAAACATATATACATATAAATATAGACACACATACACACACATATATATATAGCAACGGAAACAACAAGCACGAATTACATAAAAGCATACTGCAAGCTGAAATGAAGCAATGATGGGGTAATGAGGTCGCAGACGGAGGAAGTGGGCGGGGGGGGGGGGGGGGGAAACGACGGAGACGACGACAACGACGTCGACGACGACGACGACGGGTCCGAGGAGGGCCCTCCCGGCGGGCCGCCCCCGTGGCCCCGACCAGGGGCAGCGCGACGGGGGGGGGGGGGAGGCTCGGGAAGGGAGCGTACTGATAAGGGGAAGCAAACATTACACAAGGGGGGCGGGCTCGGGAAGGGAGAACATTGATAAGGGAGAATATTGATAAGGAGAATATTGATAAGGGAAAATTCTGAGGCCAGCGCGGGTGTCTCGGATCGGCGCTGGATCTCCATGGCGCGCGAAGCGCGCCAGGGGCGGCGCAAGAGACGCCGCCAGAGGGGGGTCCAGCGCGGGTCCGAGAAATCCGCCGCCGACCTCCTAACTATGTTTATGTCATGTGCTGTGTTTTTTTGTTTTCGGACGGCCGCTGGCGCAGTCGTGCGCGTGCTAGGTGAAGGGCAACCTTGAGTCATCATGTGTCCTCCAATTGAGCAGGAGTCGGCGATACGTCTAGGTCGGGCATGTTCCCCTACAGGCGGATGTTGGGATCTATAAATATTTTTATATGTACATATGTATGCACACAAACACAAAAACATAACACTGATCGGGGGCGCGCAAGCATGGATTAACGATCCATGTATTTGGCGCGCGGTCGCCAAATCCATGGATCGGAGGAGGTGCCCTCCCCAACATACTGCCAATGCCGCCTCGTTCGGCGACGGAAATCGGCGATTTATCATGGAAGGGGCCCAGCGCTAATCCACGCCATCCCTGAAGTCTGCGGCGGCCCGCCCGCTCCACGTGCTGCGCCTGATGCTCGCACGGGCCCCGCAGACCCCGCGGCTTCGTCAACGGGTTGGCGACCAAACGTGGGGTGTATGAGCTGTGCGCTTCTCTACGGCGAGCGAGGGGCGGGGAAAAAGGAAGAAAAGGCCCTCTCAAAAGAGCGGCGGGGCTTCTCATAAACCCTCGCACGTTATGAGAAGTTCTCCGTGTGTTCGGAAAGGCTTAGGAAACTTCTCGAGCCTTTTTTTGAAAGAAAAAAAAACCTTTACCTTCTCACTTCCCCCCTCGCTCGCCGCCGAACCTTTCGTTCACTGTGTGGCCCCCGGTGCAGGTTTAAAGAGCATTGTTTATCCGACCCATGTCCCCAACGTCGTGGCCTGGGCCCCACCGGTCGATGTACCCCTCCTCGATGGGGATCTGGGCCGCCTCCTCCGGGTTTCGAAGGGTATATCCCCAACTGGGGGTGTGAAGTGGTGGGGTTTAGGTGGAAATGGGGATGGGGAGATGACTCGGTTGAACGGTACCGCCTGAAGGCCATTTAGGGCCATTCCCCTGAAATCCTCGACCCCCCCCCCCCCACCAACACATGTGAACGAGCCATGGGAAACACACACACACACCAATAAGTATAAACAAATAACGGGTTTCCCTTTCTGTCTCCCCCCCACTTTCCACAGTTTCTTACCTATACGACCACCCTGCGGGTGATAAGGAGGATGGAGGTGGGTGCGGCAATTGGCAAAAGTGGTGGTTGGTTCTGACGATGCCTGTGGGGCGGAGTCTAGTGAGTAGTGTGTGATTGTGCACGTGAGCGTGATGTGATGTGGCGATGTTGGCGAAGCGCGCTCCACATTGTCGTGAAGCGCTGTCCCCGCGTGCGCTTATCGATCGCACGAAGTTCATATCAGCGCTAGTCGACGTGGTCGAACGTGCGTGCTGCGGTGCCAAAGTGACTGCTCGCGGGACACCAGCGGAACACCGGCGGGACAAAGACGGGACACCGCGGGCCACCGGCCGCCGGAGGAGAAACATTTAGTCCGGCCGCGGCCCAGCCACAGGAGGATTTCGGGACACCAGCGGGACACCGGCGGGACACCGCGGGCCACCGGCCGCCGGAGGAGAAACATTCGGTCTGGCCGCGGCCCAGCGACAGGAGGATTTCCTCTCGCCCGCCCACGCAGCTTCGCCTCGCCCGCACGCACGCACGGCACGCACGACACGAACCCGAAACCGAAATCGATGTCCTACTAGAGAGGGTCTCCGTTTCACGTCGGACTCACCCCCCGACCTCCGATATTTTCTGGGGAGTCGACGATGAATTGTGTTTGCCCTAGAGGCCGTCCACTCGTGACGAGGGTTGGGCCGGTCGCTGGTCAGCCGTGAGGGGGCTCCGGCCCCGTCGCCCACCTCCTCACAGGAGGCATGCGCGGGACGGCATCCGGCCCTCGCTTCCTCGCTCCCAGGGGCCCGCCTGGCTCGACCTGGACGCCAGGAATGGGAAAGGACCGAGTGGGTACGATACCAAACAGCGGGTGTTGTCCAAAACGGGCAGCGGCCGCTGTTGGGCAGGCGACCTTTGGCCTCAGATGCTCATGTGGGCAACGCCCGCGACGACGTCGCCAGCGAATCCTGTTCAAGATGGACGGGGACTGCTGTCAGTCTGCGTCCCCACTCACTCCGTGCCCCTTCTGATCTTACCGATGGCCTGCATCAACGTGGACCCTGGGGCCCCGGGAGGCTCCTGGCGTCCCAGGGCCTCGTCCAAGGGAAGGTCTCTTCGGTTACGTCGGGCATGTCCCCCTACTGGCGGATTTCAAGCGAAAAATTAGAAATACTCGAAAATAGTCCGAAATAATCCAAAAATACTTAAAAAATCGTCCCCTGACTATTTTTGGACTATTTCTGAATCTTCCTCCTGTAGAGGGACGTGCCCGAGACTGAACAATACATCCGTACCCACTTGAAGCCAGGCGAGGTTGGGCTTCCGCCCGCCCCCTGAAGAGCAAGCAACAGGGGAAACCACACGCTGACTGCAGCAGGACGGCGTAGGTTTGAGTTGGGCCTGTCCCCCCACAGGGGGATTTTCGACGAAACATAAAAAATACTCAAAAGATACTCCAACATGGTCAACAACATACTCCTGCAGAGGGACGGGCCCGCCTTACGCGCAGGCGGTCGGCTGGCCGCGCCGGGCAGCGCGGAGCCCGGGTGCCCGGAAAAGGGGGGGGAGGAGGAAGGGAGGAGGAGGAGGAGGAGGAGGAGAGGAGGAGGAGGAGGAGGAGGAGGAGGAGGAGGAGGAGGAGGAGTAGGAGGAGGGGGAGGAGGAGGAGGAGGAGGAGGAGGGGGAGGAGCAGGAGGAGGGGGGGGGGAGAAAGAGGGGGAGGGGGAGAAGGGGAGGGGGAGGGGGAGGGGGGGGGGGGGGGGGGGCGCGCGTCTGCCGCAGCGACCCCGCGCGGCCGTGCCGGGGGGGGCAGGGCAGGAGCAGTGGCCGCCGACCTCGGCCCCCGAGGAATCCTCCGACTGCCTACCAGACCACCCCAACCCAACCCGAAGACCCGAAGTTCGGGTTGGGGGGAGGGTACGGGTTCCGTATATGTTCACTCGACGTTCCCCGACCCCCCCCCCCCACTGGAATTGGAATGCTAATTGAGGCCTTCGGGGTGGGTTGGGGTGGTTTGGTGGGTGGTGATCCTCCGCTTCCGCCCACCCGACAGGTCTATTTGGACCGATGCCGGCGGAATACTTTCCCCAAGGTTCTCAAGAAAGCTGAGCTTCCGTGAAAGGCGCATGAAAGGGGCCACCGTGAGCTCGGTTTCGGACCTCGTCCTGGGACTCCTGACTCCTGGCTCCTCATCATCAGAAGGATCTGGGAAGCCAAGCAGTATCTAGGCGACGTGAGGAGAGGCGGGCCTTCTCAGAAGGCTCGGAAGTCCCCCTGCCTTCTGCAAAATTGTCTCTAAGCTTCCCCCGAAGACACGAGACACCCCTCAGAAGGCACGAGGCCTTCCGAGAAGTCACGCCGCCTCCTGAGAAGAACCTCTCACTCTCAATTCCCCGCCCTCGCTCACCGCCGATTCTGTGGACGCCCGAAATGGGTACGGAAAACATGGGCACAATGCCCAACAACAAATGCTGTCCCGCAGCGACAGCGGCCGGTGATGGGCAGGCCGCGTGTTGTCTTCAAAGAACAGCGTCCGCGGCGGCGCGTATAGCGAGTCACGTTCAAAATGAACAAGAACTGCTGTTGGGCCTCGCACCCATTCTTTCCGTACCCATTTCGATCGTCCCGAGATTCTCTGCTCGCAGAGATCGATGGGTGCCGACGTGGGGTGGCGCCCGCGCGCCACGCGTCCCAGCCCGTGGGTCCCCGGGGCTCGACGGCGGGGCCTACTGCGAGGTGCGCCACCTTCTCGCCGAGGCCCGCCTATGGCGGGGCGCGGCGCCGGCGCGGTCGCCACCGCGGGCGGCGGCGCAGGACGAGGACTGGGGAGGGCCAAACGTACCCCCAGGACGACGTACAGTAGAAGCTCGACCACAAAAAAACCTCGGACGACAAACCCGACACTGGAAACGACGGGGCCAAAGCTTAGTGGGCCCTGGAAATGACAGGGCCGTTTTGTCACCGGTTCCGTTTTGCCGTTGTTCTGCCCGTTCCGTCGCCGTTTTTGTTTGCCAATTCCAGCTCCAACTCCAATCCCGGAGCCGTCTTTTTGCCGTTTCCAGTCGCCGTTTTGTGCCGTTTCCATTTTCAAGACACTGTTTCGGAAACAGTGAAACGGCCCTGCCACTTCCGAGAACCACTAAGGGTCAAACGTACCCCCAGGACGACGTACAATAGGAGCTCGACCACGAGAGACCTTCCACGAGAAACCCGACCCCGAGACCCAAGGGCTTCCATGGATCTTTGGGGTGGGAACGTTACGCTTTCCACAGCAAAACCGTCGGAACCCAAGAAGAAAACCCAGGGCACTCTGGAAGCAAGCATAATATTTTTTCTGGGCATGGGTTTTCACTGTACCTCCAGGACGACGTACAGCGGGACCTCCGACAAAAGAGCATCCCTCGATTACACGAGGCCCTCAGCTGGCAAAAACGTACAGAACATCCGAGGGTACCCTCCCCAGGGTGCACAAAAACAGCCAACAAACCTAAAAAGCATCAGGGCACTCTCCTGGAACCGACATCGATCGTATACTTCGGTCCGACTGTACCAAACGTATCCTCAGGACGACGCACCCAATGAAGGTGGGCGCCAGAGTCCAGCCACTTGGCGAACCCCGGGGGGGGCCTAAAAGCCCCCTCTCTAAGGTACGACTGATCGGGGGTGCGTCTGTTGCCGTCCACGTCGTCTTCCTCGTCCCCTGAGGGAGGACGGAGAAAGACGACGTGGACGACGAGCGCGACGGCGTCGACGACGAGCACAACGTCGACGAAAACGTCGTCGAGGCGGGAGAAAACGTCTCCTGCGGCGGCGCCAAACAGCAAGGCGGCGGAGGTGGCCGCCGTGCTGCCTGGCGCCCCCTCTGCTCCCAAGTGGTGCGCTCCAGAAGGGAATCGCATCGAGAAATGAGCATCTCGTTTGGTTTGATATCGATGCTGTCTACTCGTCGTTTTGGCACGTCCCTGGGTGAGAGAAGGAGGGGAGACGAAGAGGAGCAGGTCGGAAAGAGGGGGGAGGAGGATAACTCACAGGAAGAATGTCACTGGCCCTCTGGGTGAGTGTGGATTCAGGAGTTTCATCATCCAACCCTCCACCTTCCCCTTCGGGGAGGGGCTCGGCCTTCCCCCTACCTAGACAAGCACGCTCCACTACTCGCAGAATAACTACTCGCAAATGGTCTGGATCCGCCATCGAGGATCTACGATATATTACATCGCAGACATTTGCTTTTCGGACGTTTGCGAGTAGGCACATTACGAGCAATGAAACGCTCTCGGTGATTACCCTGTCCCCTGGGTTTCGACGCTCACTACCCGCCAAGTGTCACAGGGTCTTCTTTGGCGGAAAACGGCTCCAAGACGGCCCCATCTGGGTCAGATGTACCTTCAAGATGGCACAGTGTGCACGCCCAAGGTAGCTTCTACCATGACCCCACGAGGCTGCAAGCCTGCCCGGCGACGGCTGGAAATGGCCACAGAGCCTCCCAGCGATATCCCCGCTGGGCCTAACGATGTCAAACATATCACGTGCTTCACTGGAAGCGTGCCGCATTGGCATTGGTGCGGTTCTGGTGGACCTCCCTCCATCCGACTCCTCCTGCTTACTCCCTCTTCCCCATCCGCCTCCGCAGATCTCTGACACATTCATTCCTTTTCTCTGTGAAGAACTTCCCCCTGTCGAACCCCAGGGCCAGTCGAAAAGTCGGGCCGGGTGTTTCGCCCGAGACTTCCTTGCCACATCTGATCCTGCAATTTCAGAATTGGCAACGGCTTCACAGATGGAGGGCGGGTGGCTTTGAAAGCGTGGTTCTCGCCTTAGCACCGCGCACATTCGTCTTAATACTTGCAAGGGCTTCTCGGATTGAGGGCGGGCCTTTTTCATAATGTGGCTCTCGCTCTCGCGCCGCACATACTCGCTTGAACAATCGCAAGGGGTTCGCGGATTGAGGGCGGGCAGTTTTCAACATGTGGCTCTCGCCTTAGCGCCGCGCACACTGGTGGTAAACAATTGCATGGGTTTCACAAGTTGTGGGCGGACCGTTTCCAAAATGTGGCTCTCGCCTTAGCGCCGCGCACATTCGTCTTAGAGATTTGCGAGAGCTTCGCGGATTGAGGGCGGTTCCTTTTCAAAGTGTGGCTCTCGCCATAACGCCGCGCACATTCTTTGTAAAACATGGTAAGAGTTTCGCGGAATCGCATAGCTAACGTACCAGGAATGCTTTCTGCAAGACATGAGGATTGTCAAGGCGCAGCAGATATGTTGATCCGCGGTGTCAAAGTCCCATGAATGGCGTGTTGGCACGATTCCGAATCGTCACGTCACAACAACCCAGTTGGTTCGTGGCATTGGAGTCCCGAGAATGGTCTCTTGGCAAGCTTCAGGATCTTCAAACGGTTGTCTCCAAACGGGACACTTCCCTCAATGAAAACTTACCTGTGGAGAACCCATAAAGAAAGAACATAGAAAAGAGGGTTCTTCCGACATCGTTGGTGAGTCTTGGCTTTACACTGGTCCTCCTCCTCTTCCTCCTCTTCATTCTCCCTCCTCCTCTTCCCCCTCCTCCTCCTCCTCCGCCTCCTCCTCCTCCTCCTCGTTTTCCTCCACCGCGCCACGGCCTCACAATCACTCGTTATTTTCCGATGCTTATCTCATCCCGATCCTCCTACCCTCCGACTCATGTCTGATCATCATTCCATATGTGTTGCCTTCCCCTTCCTCCTACGACGGAGATGACAAGGGCTCAAACAGGCGAAAACAATAGAAAAGGAATGATGTTGGCTTGATATCGGGATACATCCCCCTCTGAACGACAACGATTGGGACGACCGTGACGGCGACGGCGACGGCGGCGGGTGGGAAACATCGACGTAGATTCGGCGATGCATCGCTGATAGATCGGCAATAGGCTCTCGATACCGAAACCGATTGTCCTGGGTGGGGTGGACTATCAGGCCGCATACCCGCGAGGCGTTTGGGGGTCGATGTATTCCCCCTGGGCGAATCCCCCCTAGCGTTGGCCCCTAGATTTAGGTCGGACATGTCCCCCTACAGGCGGATGTTGGACGAAATATTAAAACAAATTAACGAAAATACAAGTTTAAGACAAAGAAGTACGAACAACAATCCTCCCCATACAATGTTTTGGCTTTAGATTTGGGGCCATAACTCGGCTCTCCGGCGGCCATTCGGGACGGCCTGGGCAACTCCAGAAAGCCCTCGACAAGGCGTCACTTCTGGAAGGCACCCCAAGGCTGGAGAGCCGACGAGACGAAGGAACCAGAAAACCTTCAGCCTCGAGCCCCCCCGACATGGCCCCTGACCCCTTCTTTCGGCGGTGGACAATACTCCCTTGAAGTAAACCTCCCTGTAACGAAAACGGCCGGGGACCGAAACCGACGGACCTGGACCCGCAAACATGACGGCCGCGACGCCCTCTCGCGAACCGAAAACGGCCAATTCACTAATCGACGTGTCAGGGTAGGAGGTCTGTCCACCCCAGCAGAGCGACGACACTAGAAGAAGAGACAACTGCATAAACATAAACTTTTGCGCTCCGCGCTGGATTTCTTGAATCCGCGCTGAGCCCCCTGGCGGCGCCTCCGGCGCCGCCCCTGGCGCGCTCCGCGCGCCAGGGGGGGGGGCCCAGCGCGGATCCAAGAGATCCAGCGCGGAGCGCCAAAAGTCTATGGATTTGCCGTTTTTTCTTATTCAGGGCAAGGAGCGGGTCTTGCGCAAGATGGCATGGTGATCTTGCGCGGACAGCACAGCGCGAACCAACGTCGGCGCAGACGACCCCTCGTTTCCTCCCGCCGCTCCGCTCGAAGTGAGGGGCCCGGCGCCAGCTGGCTGGGGCGCCAGGCGGCGGCGGCCCTGAGAGAACTTCCCCACCGTCGGCGGCGAGGCAGAGCTGGCTGCACCAGCGCGAAAAAGCTTGACGGAGGTACCGTAAAGCGAATTCTGCGGGGGAGGGGGCGGAGGCTTAGCGGGCCCTGGACACGACAGGCCGCTTTTTCACCGGTTCCGTTTTACCGTTGTTTTGCTCGCTGACGCAATTTTTGTTACCGGTTCCGTCGCCGTTGTTTACTGGCTCATGTTCCAATGCTGGAGCCGTTTTTGCTGTTTCCGGTCGCCGTTTTCGTTGCCGTTTCCAGTGTCAGAAGGACACTTTTTCGGAAACGGTGAAAAAAAGGGCCCTGCCGTTTCCGGGGCCCACTAAGGGCGGGAGGAAAGACAAGGCCACTCAGAGGCAGAAGATTTCTCGCGCCTCCACAAGAACAGACAGCTGCGTAACATCAAAACTTCTAGGGCTCCGCGCGGGTTTCTTAGATCAGCGCTGGAAGATCCCTCCCTGGCGCGCGCAGCGCGCCAGGGGCGGCGCCAAGGGCGCCGCCAGGGGGGGCCCAGCGCCATCCAAGAGATCCGCGCGGATCTCAACAGGTTTGCAGTCGAGGGTGACTGGAGAGGACACGCGAGGACACGAGACCCTTCCGAAGGCCACAGTGCCATGGGAATATCCGCCGGCCCCCTTGTGGGGCCACCAGGCTGCGAGGCGCGTGATTCGCAGTTTCCTGTACCAGTTGTAGTTTCTAGTTTCCAGTGTTACAGTTCTGCTTCTTGCTGGTTACTGTAACTAGTTGACTTCTTGCTGGTTACTGTAACTAGTTGATTGACCGCGCGACGGGGGGGGAGGCCCAAACAAGATTTTCCAGCGTCCCCTGGGCGCGTTGTCTGAATTACTGGGGGGGTTCGAAATCGACACCCATCACGCAGATCCGCGGGGTCAGGGTCCAAAAACACATGGGATTTGCCACATTTCTGAAATTCGGTGCCACCCCTCACGCAGATCCGCGGGGTCAGGGTCCAAAAACACATGGGATTTGCCACATTTCTGAAATTCGGTGCCACCCCTCACGCAGATCCGCGGGGTCAGGGTCCAAAAACACAATGGATTTGCCACATTTCTGAAATTCGGTGCCACCCCTCACGCAGATCCGCGGGGTCAGGGTCCAAAAACATAAGGGATTTGCCACATTTCTGAAATTCGGTGCCACCCCTCACGCAGATCCGCGGGGTCAGGGTCCAAAAACACAATGGATTTGCCACATTTCTGAAATTAGGTGCCACCCCTCACGCAGATCCGCGGGGTCAGGGTCCAAAAACACATGGGATTTGCCACATTTCTGAAATTCGGTGCCACCCCTCACGCAGATCCGCGGGGTCAGGGTCCAAAAACACAATGGGATTTGCCACATTTCTGAAATTCGGTGCCACCCCTCACGCAGATCCGCGGGGTCAGGGTCCAAAAACACAGGGGATTTGCCACATTTCTGAAATTCGGTGCCACCCCTCACGCAGATCCGCGGGGTCAGGGTCCAAAAACACAGGGTTTGCCACATTTCTGAAATTCGAACCCATCACGCACATCCATCGCAAGGCGTGGTAACCCAAACTGCGAGAACTCCCTCGGCCCTTTCATCGCAAGGTGTGGTAACCAAGCCCTTAAACCATACACGTCTTACCAATCGCCAGGTGTGGTAACCCCTCTTGTGATCAGTTGGTTTTGCTGATTGCGACTCGGCTTCGCATGAAGTTTCGATACTGCTTCACGACAGCGCCAAGGCCTCATGACTTAGCACTTCCATGGCTCATTCTCCGAGAGAGGGGGCCGGCGGCAGGGGGCGAAGCCCTTACGGATAATAGGGACACGAGCAATGACTGAAACATACAAACTCGGAGGCCCGCGCGGACCTCCGAGTTATGTGTATGTCATTGTTATGTGTATGCCTCCGAGTTATGTGTAAGGCTGGGGCCGCTAACGCACAGGACACAAGGGTGACCTTGACTCGGCAGGGTCGACCCACAGCCAAGACGCAGAAACAAGGGACACTTTGGGCTCGGAAGGGGCTCGATGTCCCCGAGGTCCTTCCAGGGCTGTTCCTCTAGCCCTCCTCGTCCACGCATGTGTTTCTGGGGCCAAAGAGGGGCTTCGTTCCGCATTTAGCGTCCCTTCTTCCAGCAACCCGACTGTACTACAGTAGGACCTGGGCCAGAAGAACATCAATCAAAAACATGAGACCCTCCGCTGGTCAAAACTCGCAGGGGGTCCAAGGGCGCCCTCCTCCAGGATGCACTTTCACCGTGCGAACAGGCGCCCTGTGGCCGAGGGGGGGAGGGAGAGGGAGGGGAGGCGAGCAGGGTGCAGATAATTGGTCTGGCGGCCCTGGCCGGGCCCGCAAGCGCGCCTCCAGGTCGGCGCGCCAGGCCAACGAGCACGGAGAGCACCGGGGCACCCTCCCCGAGCCGATCTCGATCTCAGACCTCGGTCCGCCTGCAGTGGCCCAATTCCCATGCCAGGCCCACTCCTCGGCTGCCCGCCGCGGCGGGCGCGTCCGACGGAGAGTTGTTCGTGTGCCCAGGAGCTGGCGCGCGAGCTCACGGCCGGGGAGGGCCCCTGCGGAGAGGTCCAGGGGGATCCCTCGGGACAGGCGCAGGGCCAGAGCCACATGGCCCCGACACTTGGCGGTGAGCGTGGGGGGAGGAGGAGGAGGAGGAGGAGGAGGAGGAGGAGGAGGAGGAGGAGGAGGAGGGAGGAGGAGGAGGAGGAGGAGGAGGGGAGGAGGAGGAGGAGGAGGAGGAGGAGGAGGAGGAGGAGGAGGGAGGGAGGAGGAGGAGGAGGAGGAGGAGGAGGAGGAGGAGGACGACGACGACGAGCAGGAGGAGCAGGAGCAGCAGGAGGGCCTCGGAGGAGGGAGGACGAGGAGGGGAGGGGGGCTCCTCTTGGGGAGCTCCTGAGGGGAAGGAAGCGAGAAGGAGAAGGCCTTCTCCGAAGGCCGCGGGGCTCCGCGCCGGGCGGCAGGCGGTGGCGCGCCTCCGCGCCGCAGATGCCCCCGCGCACGTGCACCAGCGGCACCAGCAGCACGGGGCTGGCCCACTCGCTCGGGCAGGTGGCCTCCCACCGTCGGGGCGAGCGGAGGGGGAGCCGAGGGCCGAGGGCCCGCCAGGAGCCGAGAGCCGAGGTGCCAGCGATCAGCGAATGGCCTCCAGACCTCGGTGGGCCCTGGAAGCGGAGAAGGAATGTTTGTTACGGGTTCCGTGCTGCCGTTTTTGTTGCCAAATCCGTCGCCATTCTTGTGCCGCTTCCGTCGCCGTTTTTTCGTTTCCGGTCCCGGCTCCGGTTCCAATTTCGGAGCCGTTTTTGTTTCCGTTTCCGGTTGCAGTTTTTTGTGGGGGGGTTCGTGTCCAGGTTCAAGAGACACTGTTTCGGAAACGGTGACGAAAAGCCCCTGTCGTTTCCAGGGCCCACTGAGCTCCAGAGGGCCGTAGACGCCTCCAAGACGCAACAAGAGCCCGGGAGGGGGGGGTGGGGGAGGTCGCCCCCCTCGTTCACATCACGGCGGGGGGCCGCCGGAAATCTCAGAAAGTCCTCGAGGAATGCGTAGGACATCGTCGCAAATGTGGGCAAAATCGTACGACGTGACCTCTGGGTGGGGGGGAGGGAGGAGGGCCGATCACGGCCGCTGTCGCCCAGACGTTCAAAAGACCGTCTCCAAGCGTCCCTTCGATTCTTGGGAGGTGGTCGCGCCTCTGCCTGTCCGGCTCCCCGGCGCACCAGGGCGGCCCGCGAGGCCCTAAAGATCGCCCCAAGACGGCCTAAGAGGCCGTCAAGAGGGCGCCGAGGCAAACGTTCAGAGGTCCGCGCGAACTTCTCGGATCGGCGCTAGGGGCCACCAGCGGCGCCGCGCCAGAGAGGGGACTCCAGCGCCGATCCAAGAAATATGCGCGCGGGGCTCCGAGAGTTCATGTTTATGCCATTCTTCCCGTGCGCCGCGGCTGTGTTCTATCGGGGCGACGTAAGACTCGGGTTCAGGGAACTCGGGTTGGACTGATGGGGCCGTCAGGAACATGACGAGACCCAATCTGAACTTTGGCCCGACCTCCCGCTGCAAACATCCCACGGAAACTGGACAGTCAAAACTCAAGACGGGCCCATCAAAAAGGACAGTCAAACCCGAGTTCCAGCGAACTCGAGTGTTACGTTCCCCCCATTCTAGAGCTCGGGCATTGCTTCGTTTCGCGTATCGTTTGTTGGTAGATCAACGCGCACAAGAGGGTAGGGGGAAGGGGGGAGGCGGGATGCTGCTTCTTAGACGGCGCCAGCCTTACATCTGCGGATAAGGCCCGTGCCTTCTAAGAAGCAGCCTCCTTCGAAGAAGCCTTCCCACCTCCCCATACTCGGGGAACGAACAGTGGCATAAACATTGAAACTCGGAGGTCCGAGCGGATTTCTCGGATCGGCGCTGGAGGCGCCGCCAGGGGAGTCCAGCGCCGATCCGAGAAATCCGCGCCGACCGCCGAGTTTTAATGCTTATGTCATTAATCGTTCCCCTACCCACCCCCCTCTGCTCGTGGCCGCCGACGGAGGGCGGGAACTGGGAGAGATCGGGAGCCCCCGGGCAGTCGGGATCGGCCAGCATCGAACCGGTGAATCGGCTCGCCCCGACCTCGGGCTCGGCTGCATCGGCACGGCATCGGCATCGAGGGGCATCGGCTGCACCAGGATGCACCACAGCACCATGCAAGCATTGGGCCGCATCGGATTCTCAGAATCTCGGAATCGATTCGGCTCGGGCCGGCCAGAGAAGAGCTCCGGCATCTTTACACATCGGTCGGAAGAAGCAGGTAGAAATATGAAGTAGCAAGGCGTTGAAAGTAAATCTGGTGTCCACCCGTCCCCCTAAGGAGGATGGAAAAAGCGAAGCCACTAGGGAAGGCGCTTACAGTAGATTGGAACCTGAGACTCCAAAAACAACTACTTTCATCGACCGAAGGGTATTCTCGTTCGTCGTTCCGCCGAGGTCCCCCTCCATGGAGGAAAAATTCAACAATACCCAAAAATATTCAAAACAATTGAACAGATCCGCCGGCCCCCTTGCGGGGCCACCAGACTGCGAGGGTGAGGATTGCAGCTAGTTGCAGCTTCCACTTTCCACTGTTACAGTTCTGCTTTTCTGCTTCCTTACTGTGAATTGTTGCTGTCCGCGCGAAGGCGGGGAGCCCCAAACAAGTGTTCTGGACCACGCCCTGGGAAGGTTCTCAGAATTCGTGGGGGGGGGGGCGTGGGACACACACACACACACACACACACATTCACACACACACACACACATATATATACATATATATGTGAGAGGGAGAGAGAGAAAAAAAAAAGATATTCGCGTCCCCGAGGCGCTGATCCCTAGAAAATTGCTCCATATTCGCGCCCCCGAGGCCATAAACCCTCGAGAATTATTTTACGTGTGCGTCCACGAGGCGACACAGCCTCGTATATTACTCAAGATCGCGTACCCTCGTAAATTACAATATGTGCGCATAAACCTTCAACAATTACATAACATTCCCATTCCCAGGGCCATACAACCTGCTAGAATTACGCCGTACTTGCGTCCCCGAGGTCACGGACCCTTGCATTGCACAACATTCGCGTCCCCGAGGCCATAACCCTTAGTAAATTATGCAATAGTTGCGCCCCCGAGGCCATGACCTCTTCTAAACCACACAATAGTTGCGTCCCCGAGGCCACAGACCCTCGCAAATCACGCCATATTCGCGTCCCCGAAGCCATAAACCATTGTAAACGATTTGGTATCCTCATCACAAAAGCCATACACCCTCGGAAATCAATATTTGCCCTCGCGTGAAGTCCCGGCATTGCTTCACGTCAGCGTCCAGACATCGCAGCACAGCTCTGGCAAGTCCCATTCTAAAAGAGGGGGGTCGGCGGCATAGGGGCGAAGCCACTTCGGATACTCAAACATCGTCCCCAGACTATGTGCTGACTACGTTTGATTATTCCTCCTGTAAAGGAACAAGCTCGCCTTAGCTCCACCCGTGCCACTGGCCTGCCCCTGCTCAGGCCGTGCCCACTCGCCCCCTCTCCTCGTGCAGGAGCCACGTCACAGCTAAGCACCACCTGCTTGTTCCTCACAGCTTCGAGTGGGAGAACGAAGAATGACATAAACCTATGTTGCCCCCATGGTACTGAAGGACTACATCCCAGAAATAACGTCGAGCACCAAGACAGAATATCGAAACAGTCTCGAACGAGTATCGTCTCTCAAGGCCCGACACGCGAAAACCCTCCAGTTTCGGCATTTCCTTGGTGATCGAAAGTCTTCTCTGTGGTGATCATAAAACATAAACATAAAAAATCAAAGGCCCGCGGGGATTTCTCGGATCGGCGTTGGACCCCCCTTCCCTGCCGCGCGGAGTGCGCTAGGGGAGGCACCTGAGGCGCCGCCACTGGGGTTTAGCGCAAATCCGAGAAATCCGCGCGGAACTCCGAAATGTTATGTCTACGTCATTGCTTACTCCCTGGTAAATCGGAAATCGGCTAAAGCTGTTTTTGGACGACCGGGATCGGCAGGGAAGACATTATTGGTACGATGCCCAACTGGCAGAGGTTGTCCACAACTGGCAACGGCCGCTGCTGGGCGGGCGGCCCCTCGCCTCAAATGGACAACCGTCCGCGGCGGCACAGACAACGGAGCCCTTCCAACATGATCACGAAATGCTGCCTGTCCGGGCGCCAAGCTCTTCCGAGAGTTGATTCACCATCAGCTTGATGTCTCCGTCGGACCGAAGGAACGTAGAATGCCCCGTGGGAGCCACGGAACATGCCACCCATCTCTCGTAGGCTCGACGAGAAAAGAAAGGAATGCTGGGGGTAAATCAATGCTGTAGTGTGAGGTCGGGCATGTTCCCCTGCAGGCGGATTTTGGGCGAAACATGTGTTTTTTATGATTACCCATCGGTCGGATGAAGTAGGTAGAACTATGAAGTGGGAAGGCGTTGAAAATAGATTGGGTTCTATCCGCCCCTTAAGGAGTACGGAAAATGTGAAGCCACTCGATCATTGAAGTAGGACGGCGCTTAAAGAAGATTGGAACATGGCAATCCGAAAATACCTACTTTCAACGACCGATGAGCAGACATAATCAACAAACATACTAAGAAAATCGTCCCAAGCCTATTGTTGTACAACTTCTGAAGTCTCCTCCTGTAGCGGGACGCGCCCGACTGAACTGTACTTGTGCTCCCCTGCTCGAAAGCTCCGCGACAGCTGGCCGGGAGGAGAGGCCCCGCCTCGCCCCACCCGCAGGCTGGCAGCGCTTGCCCCCGCAGGTCCACGACGCCCTCCCCGATGTCGGCGCCTCGGGGCCGCCCGGGGCGCGCGCCCTCGAACGGTGTGCCAGCCACCGCCCTGCCTCCACCCTCCGTCTCCAGATCCTGGCGGACAAGGACCAGAGGGCAGTGGAGGCGGGGAAGGCACCGCCCCAGCGGCCGCCGAGAGCGGACTCACGGGGCATCCTCACGAAGCTCAGGAGCGTCTGGGAGCGCATAGCAGGCCAGAGGGCGGGGCGCCGGCAGCTGCGAAGCCCCGCGCAAAAACCATTCCCGGAGCTCCCCCGTGGTGGGTTCTGACCAGATCTTCGAGGCGGCTCCAGCGGTGGCGACGAGGGCCTCTCCAGGAGGCCCAGCAGGGCGGTGCGCCGAGGCGAGGGAAAGGCCGGCAGAAAGAGCCATCACCACCAGAGATCCACAGAACTCCGTTCCCGACCCCCCCCCGCCCCGAGCTGGTGGCACTTCGTTCTCGGTACCCTGTCGAGGTCGCGCCCGGAACAGGGTGCCACCAGCTCGGGTGGGGTCGAGGCCAGCTCGCCCTTCATGTTTTCCCGGAAGGGGAAGAGAAGAGAAGCGCGCGACCACGGAACCCCACCACGGTGCGACTATAGCACAGGAGCGTGAAGCCGACAATCGCCAGTCCACTAAGAACGCTACGGCGACCTGGTGGCGGTGGTGATGGTCTGTTCTTCTCTGTTGGGAAGGCGTACGGGCAGAAGAGCCCAGAATCGAATCCAGAAGTCGGATCGGCGATCGAATTGAGTCGGATCGGCGGAAATCGGCAGCCGAAACGGGAGAAGTCGAATCGGTGGAAATCGCCAGGCTAGCATGCCTCCGTTGAGAAATCGGAATCCGAAATCGAATCGAATCGGAATCTGAAACCATTGAAATCGAATCGGAGGGATCGGAACGAGCCCTTTACGGGTGCCTCGTCTGGGGAAACTAAAAAGTACCGATACGGCTACTCTCCGGACCTCTCCCGGGGTGCGTTCTGACCAGAATTTCGAAGCGAATCCAGCGGTAGCGGCGAGGGCCTCCCGGGAGGCCCAAAAAGGGAAAAACGAACGAAGGGTAGAGGTAAAGGTACCTTCTCCACCGTGTCTTCCTCCTCCTCCTCCTCCTCCTCCCTCCTCCTCATCCACCTCCTCCTCCTCCTCCTCCTCCGCCTCCGCCTCCTCCTCCTGCTCCTCCTGCTCCTCCTCCTCGTCCTCTGCCTGCGCCTCTTCCTCCTCCTCCTCCTCCTCCGCCCCCTCCTCGTCCTCCTCCTCCTCCTCCTCCTCCTCCTCCTCCGCCTCCTCGGCCTCGTCCTCCTCCTCCTCCTCCTCCTTCTCCTCCTCCTCCCCTCCTCCTCCTCCTCCTCCTCCTCCTCCTCCCCATCCTCCTCCTCCTCGTCCTCCTCCTCCTCCTCCTCCTCCTCCTCCTCCCCATCCTCCTCCTCCTCCTCCTGGGGGAAAAAACCCGGGGGGATCGACGATGCATTGCGTGTGCGCTTCTGCATGGGGGGGGCAGGGGGAGCAGCAAAGGAAGGGCGGGGAGGCGGAGGAGGCCACCGCCGACGCCGACGACGAAAGCAGCGACGACGATAAATCCGACGCCGAGGCGAGGAGCGGGAGAGAGGCCGTCGGCATCGCCGACGTCGACGACGCCGCGGACGACGACGACCCCGCCAATGGGAGACTCTGACAGCGACGCCGGCGACGACTCCGCCAACGACGCCAACGAATGACGCCGACGAAACACGATAACGACGACAATCAGAGGCAGCTGCGAAGAAAAGAGCAGAGTGGGGGGGCCGAACGGTCATTCATTGTCCCTGGGTGCGTGGCTGAAGTGAGGACCAGTGGTGAGGATTCTGCTTGTTGCGTCGTTGTTGTCGTTGTTGGTGTTGTTGTTGCTGCTGTTGTTGTTGTTGTTGATGATGATGATGTTGTTGTTGTTGTTGTTGGTGTTGTTGTTGTTGTTGTTGGTGTTGTTGTTGTTGTTGTTGGTGTTGTTGTTGTTGCTGCTGCTGCTGCTGTTGCTGTTGCTGTTGCTGGTGTTGTTGTTGTTGTTGTTGTTGGTGTTGTTGTTGTTGTTGTTGTTGTTGTTGAACATTATTTATTCTAAAGAATAATTATTGTTGGGACCCCTGGTGCGCGGCCCCCTCGCCGCGCCTAGGCCGCAGCCACATTTTCATCATTTTCGTGAGGAAGTCTCAGGCAAAACGTGGGTGTCCGGATCCGGTTGTTTTGTTGTCCCCCGTTTTCCCTTGCAAAAAACACTATAAAATGAAATTTCTTGTTCTAACATAACCAAACTTCAAGAATCCTTTGCAACAAATGACACGAAGTGCACACTCGCGCGCGCAAGATGAAATCCTTCCAAAACCTTAGTTTTCGTAGCGATTTTAACATAAAAACATGAAAAACCCAATGTTTTTTTTTTTTTTTTTTTTTTTTTTTTTTTTTTAAAAAAAAAAAAAAAAAAAAAGTTCAAAAATTCATCTTGCGCGCTCTTGCGGATTTCGGAGGAAACCCAATATTTTTTCAACATTTCTGTCAAACGGGCTCTTGCGAGCAACTTTTTCACGTGCTTCGAACTTCTGCAACAACGGTTGCGCGCATGCCAGGGCCATCATCCCTGTCAAATAATACCATATTGGACACATTCGTTTTTTCTTCGCGCGCGCACGCCGTCGTCGTCGGCCGCGGGGCCCTGAATAGTAGCCACGGTCGTCCGCATGCCACGAAGTGAAGTGTCCGAACGTCATAGGGCGGGAAGCTGGGTGTGGGTGGTGGCGAAGAGTCGTTTGGAAATTTGGTAGAGCTTGAACCGGCCCCCCCACAAAGTGGGGGTATTGCCCGCCTCCTATGAAAACCCTGGCACTGGTGAGAACGGAGTGTCCCCACGTGCTAGTAATTGTTGTTGTTGTTGTTGAACATTATTAATTCTAAAGAATAATTATTGTTGGGACCCCTGGTGCACGGCCCCCCCGCCGCGCCTAGGCCGCAGCTACATTTTCATCATTTTTTCGCGAAAGCTTCAGAAAAGTGGATGGGGTCCAGATCCGGTTGTTTTGTTGTAATCCGTTTTCCCTTGCAAAAAACACTATAAAATGACATTTCTTGTTCTAATATAATCAAATTTCAAGAATCCCTTGCAAAAAATAAGGTAAAGTGGACATTCGCGCGCGCAAGACGAAATCCTTCCAAAAGCTTAGTGTTCGGAGCGATTTTAACATAAAAACATCAAAAAACCAATGGTTTTTCAACAAAAAAATGTCAAAATCTCATCCCGCGCGCTCTTGCGGATTCGTAGGAAACCCAACACTTTTTAAACATTTCTGTCAAACGGGCTTTTGCGAGCAACTTTTTCGAACTTCTGCGACAACGGTTGCGCACCTGCCAGGGCCATCATCCCTGTCAAATAATACCATGCGGGACACATTCGTTTTTTCTTCGCGCGCGCACGCCGAAATCTTCAAAAATCATTGGGTTTCTTCTGAATTTTAGCACCGCGCAACATAACATCATACGAACCGGTACAGGTGTCCAGTGTTGGAACAGGGGGATAAGTCGTATACTACGCTAGCTTCCACAAAATGTTACCACAACAAGTCATTGTACCCATGCGCCAGTGTAGTAGCCAAGGTCGTCCGCAGGCCACGAAGTGAAGTGTCCGAACGTCATAGGGCGGGAAGCTGGGTGTGGGTGGTGGCGAAGAGTCGTTTGGAAACTTGGTAGAGCTTGAACCGGCCCCCCCACAAAGTGGGGGTATTGCCCGCCTCCTATGAAAACCCTGGCACTGGTGAGAACGGAGTGTCCCCAGTCTTAAATGATTGTTGTTGTTGTTGTTATTGTTGTTGTTGTTTGTTGCTGCTTTTGTTGTTTGTTGTCGTCCCACCAACGCGACCCACCCCGCGACCCACCCTGCGACCCACACCGCGACCCACCCCGCGACCCAGCCGCGACCCACCCCGAGACCCACCCCGCGACCCACCCCGCGACACACCCCGCGACCCACCCGCGACCCACCCGCGACCCACCCCACGACCCACTCCGCAACCCACCCGCGACCCACTCGCGACCCATCCGCGACCGACCCGCGACCCACCCGCGACCCACTTCCGACCCACCCGCGACCCACCCTGCGACCCACCCACGACCCACCCGCGACTCACCCGCGACCCAACAGCGACCCACCCGCGACCCACCCGCGACCCATTTGCGACCCACCAGCGACCCAACCGCGACCTACCCACATTGGTTTAACGAAAAATCGGCGCCAGCGGCGGGCTTTTTGGATAATGTGTGAAACTGTGGCTCCTGCGGCGAGCTTCTCCAAGGACTCGCAAACTGCCGACGTCCCCACCGCCCCCTCACTCTTATCCGCATCTGCGGGGTGCTAAGTACTCCCAGCTGCAATGTCCCAGCGGATGACCGCGGGCAACGCGTCCCCCTTCTCCTCCTCCTCCCTGTCCTCCTCATCAGCCTCCTCCTCCACGGGCACCTGCTCCTGCACCGTCCTGAAACACGACCACCCCTGAATCTCCCTCCCCATCGTCGTCGCCCTCCTCCTCCTCTTCCTGCCTCTCCTCCTCCTCCTCCTCCTCCTCCTCCTCCTCCTCCTCCTGGCCGTCCTGCCCATCCTCCTCTTCCCGCTCCCTCCCTTCCTCCCTTCCCTCTCCATCCTCCACCTTCCTCGTGCTCCTGCACCTCCTGTTCATCGGGCGGTTGCGCCCGCGGGCGGGTTGAAATGTGCTGCCTGGTTGCCGACTTATGGTAGTGGTGGTGGAAAATCGGCCTTCCATTCAGTGCAGTTCAAGTCAGTTCAGCTGGTCAGCTCCGCCGAGAAGAAAGCCGACGCCGAGGCGAGGAGGGGGACAGAGGCCGTCGGCGTCGCCGACGTCGACGGCGACGCGGACAACGACGATGACATCGCCAACGGACGACTCTGACAGCGACGCCGGCGACGAACGATGCCGACGAAAGAAAACGACAGACGACGACTCTGGCGCGCCGACACAGGACGACGTCGACGAACGACGACGACGACGACGACGACGACGAACGCCGACGAACGACGACGACGCCGACGACCCAAACGCCGACGACAACAACGACGACGACGAACGACGCTCCAACGATGCCCAACGGGAAATTCTGTCAACAATCGACAGCGGCCGCTGTTGGGCAGGCGACCGCTTGTCTTGACTGGACAGCGTTCGCGGCGACACCGGCAGCGAACCCCGATCCAGAATGGGCACGAACTGCTGTCAGCCTTCGTACAGTCGAAGTTGATTGGAGAGAAGACACGCGAGAGGACACACAACCCTTCCGAGGGTCACGTTGCAATTTGCAATTGGAATGTAAAAGGCATGGGTCGCGAAGCACAGGACACAAGCGCACCCTGGATTTGGCAGGGCCGACCCTCTGATGAACCTCGATTGTGCCAATTGTTTCCGCAACCGCTTCGATCACACCGCTTGAACAGGGGCCCACCGTCCCGTCTGGCCTTCCTATAGGCTTACCACGACATGTTCTTAGAACCCCAAAATGTTCGAAAAACAAAACAACGTTCTTAGAACATAAACCCGATGCGGTAAAGCAAGACAGTCCCAGCCAGAAATGTTGTAAGAACACTTCGTGCAGACCACGAGAGGTACTCAGAACACTCTCTGGTGGGCCTCTAGGCGAGCCCGGACGCTTCGCCCCTGCTCGACTCCTCCCGCACCCGCTTCGATCACACTGGGACGACGAGGCCCGCGCTCTGCATCTCCAGCTGCACCGGCCCCAAGACCACGTCCCTGCGCGCCTCCGCCGCCGCGCGGGCGGACACGGGCGGCGGACGGGCGTCAGCCAGGGGGGAACAGAAACACGCAGACACGATGAACCGTCGGCTCCGAGGCAAATATAGAGGGGATAATATGGGCTGTGGGGGGGGGGGGAAGACGAAAATCCAGAAAATAGACCTAATCATGTGGAAAAATCCTGTTCTTCGTGCGTATCTTTTTGCGCGTCCTTGGGCCCCCTTGAGTCTGGCGGGGCGACGCCGCCGCGCGCGGCCGGGCCACGCCGCCCACTGCGGGGGGCTTCGGGAGACCTCCAGGGGCCTCCGCGGACCCACCTCGGGGGGCCTCCGCAGAGGCCCCAGGGGGCCTCCGCGGGTATGGCACGGGCGGCGACCCGATATGTATATATATATATATATATATATATACATAAATATATGTATATATATACATATACACACACATACTTTTGCATATACATATGCATACACCTATAAACATAATACAATTACACATATGCATGTCTATATATATACACATATGTGAGCCGTCTCGGGGCCATCTTGGGCCGCCTTAGGGCCATCTTGGGAGCCTCTTCGGCCGTTATGGAGCGATCTTGGGGGCTTCTTGGGCCGTCTTGGAGCGTCGGGATGCTCAAAGGCTGAAACCTAGTAGATCCGTCGGAAACGAATTGGAAAGCAATGATCATTGCCTCTTGGGGCCTTCGTGGGAGGCCTCTTGGAACTTCTTCGGCCCTCTGGGGACCTTTTGGGGGGCCTCTTGGGGCCGGGCGGGGGCCTCCTCGGGCCTCCTGAAAGCCTCTCAGGGTGAAGGCTACGATTTTCGGTTCATGTTACCCCTCTTGGCCCCCTCTTGGAATCGGGAAGCCGACAAGGCGAGGACCCCCCAAACCGTCAAAGACCTCCGAGAAACAAAACAGCCATTATTGCGACTAGGGGCCCTCTTGGGAAGCCTCTTGGAGGCTTCTTGGGGCGTCTTGGAGGCCGCTTGGGCCGTCTTGGGACCATCTTGAGCGTCTTGGAACGATCTTGAGCCGTCTCGGGACCCTCTTGGACCATCTTGGGGGCCTCCTGCTTGGAGGCCTCTTGGGGCGTCTTGGAGCCCGCTTGGGCCGTCTTGAGGCCCCCTTGGAAGCCTGGGGAAGGGGGTATCAAGAAGTGTCCGCAGATAGTTGCGGAGTGGCCGACCCAGGGCCAGGAGGGGTATACATTTACATAAGATATACACCAGAACCATCGCGCGCGCACTTCGCGCGCGCTCAGGTTCTAGCCCAGGCCGGGGGGGCGCTGGAAGATCTTGGACAGCGCCTCAATCACAGGCGCGTGACATAGTCGTGCCTCCTGAGGGCCTCTTGAGGACATCTTGGGTCTTCGTGGTGGCATCTGAGGGGCTTCTGGAGGGTTCTCCACGTTCCTCAATTAGCTGTTGGAGACACCTTTTTGGCTTAGAGTTTCGTGGGGTTCTCCGGGCAGTCGGAAAATGATGCTCTGCAGTGTGAAGCCGTCATTGGCCGCCTTGGCTGCGTGGAACCCCGACTTGGGGCCACCTGGGACCACATTGGAGCAATCCGGAAGCCTCCCGGAGGCAGTCATGATGCGCCGAGGGTATCCGCGGGGTCGCGGCCCAAGGGCTCGGCTGACGAGGCCGCTGATGCGAATATGCTGATGCGTTCTTTGCTCACGAGGGTATCTCCCCATCGGCCTTCCTTATTCTACAGCGGAGGTAGAACCGAGCAACATCCACCCGTAAACAGTCCTGATTCACCGGCGAAAAGACCCGCATCCACCAGTAATCGCTGCAAGCACCATTAATGGGGCCAGCTCGGCAGTGCATGTCGGGACGGTCCGTGGAAATTGGAACGCTTCGGCGCGACACGCAAGGTCAAGACACGCGAACAAGATCGACAACGCATGATGACACGCTCTCGCACCAGCTCGCGGAAACGTACCTGCACACATGTCACATCCCCAGTCAAATAGGACATGCACCAGCAACCCAGGCCATATGCGAAAAGGAACGGTGGTGAGGCTGGGCCCAGGGACCTCCATGAGACCTGCGGGGACCTCTGAAGAGACCTCGGGAGGGGAGGGGTGCCCATGGATTGATCTTGAACGGTTTCTGAAGGCTCGACAGGAGCTGAAGTTGCGCAGAAGTTCGACTGCAGAGCTGATTTGCGCCACACATTTTCGCGCCGAAACGACGAAACATTGTTGCGTCGGCGGCTAAGCAGAGTAACGGCGCTGGCGGGCGAGCTAACTAAACGGGGGCCCCGTTGTAGCGAATTGTGCAACATCGAGTCGACGAAACATGCGTAGACGGTATGCAGAACTACGAACATCCTACGCACTTTTCTGACCCTCGGCGAGACAACCACAACTTGTGGATCTCGGGCTTCACTCAAAACGTGAAATTGGGACGGGTGGTAAGGACGCAGGACCCTTGAAGGCCGACCTTGGCATTTTTGGGCGGAGGGCGACCAATGAAAGCGGCAAAGGACGCGCCGCAGAGGCAAGGACACAAGGACACTCTAGATGAAGGCGCGCGTCCTTACTAAGCGCGTTGACCGTAAGTCCACTCTGTAGTGGACCTCCTGCTCGAAGAGTGCCCCCCTGGAGGAACGGGAGACAGCTGTACAGTGGCGGGCAGTCCACAAGAAACCTTCCACAAGGCACCCAGGGAGTCCACTGATTCTTGGTGTGGGAAGGTCACGTTCAGCATCGCAAGACCATCGAAACCCAAGAAACCCAGGGCACCCTGGAGGCCAGCAGGGTGTTTCTTGGCATGGGCCTCCACTCTAGATGAAGGTGCGCGTCCTTACTAGGCGCGCTGATTGTAAGTCCACTCTGCAGTGGATCTCCTGCTCGAAGAGTGGCCCCCTGGAGGAACGGGAGACAACTGTATATTTAGGTCGGGCATATGTCCCCCTACAAGCGGATTTTGGGCGAAAAATGAAAAACTACCAAAACCAAGCAACAGAATCCGCCGACCCCGTCGGCGTGTGCGAGAGGCTTTCCCGTCTTCCCCACAGCGTCGTCACCTCTTCTGCTTTCCGAGGGCTCCCTACACAAGTCCACACAAAAATTAAACAACGTCGTCCTTCAGTCAAATGGAAACCCCTTCCCTTGATCCCTTCCCCGCTGGGGGGGGGGGCCCGGGGCAACTCCAGGGGGGGGTCCCCCCTCGGATACGCAGCCCCCCGCCTCTCATCCTCCTGCGTCCTGGGGCTCCGTTGGCCCTCCGGGGCCGTCTGCGGGCCCTTTCAGCCTTTAGGGCTCCTTGGAGACCTTTCGCAATTTTTAGACTCTCTTGGCAGCCTCTGGCGGCACTCTGGACAGCCTCTGCGGGCGCTTTCGGACCTCGCTTGACGCCGTCTTGGAACCCTCTCGGGCCACTTGAGGGCGCTCTTTGCCTATCTTGGCACTCTCTGAAGCCGTTCCCGAACTCTGGAGGAGGCCTCTTGAGCTGTCTTCGGGACGACCTTGCAGGCATCTGGCGCCGTCTTCGAGCCATCTGAGGGCGTCTTAGACGCCTCTACCTCCATTGTCTTCGTCGTCGCTGCCTACAGGGTCGGCGGCATCGGCCGTAAGGGCTTCGCAATAGTCAAACGAATACTAAAAAATCGTCCCCGTACTATTTCTTACTATTTCCGAATATTCCTCCTGTACAGGGACAGGGTGTTTCTTGGCATGGGTCTCCACTGTACATCGTGCGCCACACTCGGGCCATCGGGGCTCTCCACGACGGTCCCCTCGCGGCCGTCCAAAAGAGCAGCTCGGGGGCCTCGGACAGGAGCCCGCGGTGATGCAAGTCTTGGGGGGTCGCTTCCTGGGGGAGGCGATGCCCATCGGTCGTCAGAAGCGGGCACAAACATGAAGCAAGAAGGCGTTGAACGTAGATTGGGTTCCGTCCGCCCCCTTGGGAGGACGGAAAAGGTGAAACCACTCGAACACTGACCTAGGAAGGCGCTTAAAGTAGATTGGAATCTGGGACTCCAAAATCTGCCGACCCTGTCGGCGTGAGACAGATCCTGTTCCGTCGCCATCGCAGTCGCTGCCGTCGCGTCGCCATCGCCATCACGTCCCCTCCGTCCCCTGAGTCCGTCGCCGCTCCCCCCCTTTCCTTGGGCCATCGTCCTCAAGCACGCCAGGCAAAGCGAAATACACCAGCCCATCCACAGTGAAGTGAAGCAACGCTGTCACTGAGTCGTAGGGAAGCCCCTTCCCTTTTGATCCCTTCCCCGCAGAAGGGGGTGGGGGGTGGGGGTCCCGCGGTGTGGCCCCGGAGGGGTCCCGGGGGGGGCTCCCGGGGGGTGCTCCCTGCAGGGTGGTCCCGGGTCAGAACACCACTTTCCCGGCCCGCCCTCTCCCTCCCATTTCCGTCGAGGGCCGAAGCCTTTCGGGTCGGCGGCCTCGGCCCTCTGCTGGGCCCTCAAGAGCCCCATTTGAGAGCCCTGAAGTGCCCCCCTCCATGATTTTGGCCCCCCCATCACGCGACGTCCAGCAGTCCTTCCAAGGGCAGACTCGGGCTCTTGGAAACAGCGCAGGCACCCCACTCACGGTAATTACGAGGCATCTGCCGACCCACCCCGTGCAAGACCGGGCCCACTCAGTCTCCTGCCTCTCACAGTCCTTGCAGACCTACAACTCGAGCCAGTCCACGCTTTTCTTCTCGGAGGGGGAGGGGGGAGGGACGGGGAAGGAAGGGAGGGTATGATGCTGAGGGGTGAACATGTACGAGGGGCCCGGCGACCGAGTCAGCTATCATGGCGGATCCTGGGGCCACAAAAACAAAAAAACAAAACACAACAAAAAAAGCATGCAAGAGGAAAGGGGGGAGAGAGAGAGAGAGAGAGAGAATAAAAAAGAGATAGAGAGAGAGAGAGAGAGAGAGCGAGCGCGCAAAAAAAAAACACAATGCACCAAACTTCAGCAACGTTCAAGCCGTAGTCACGACGGCGGTACGATGCACGCGACCCGGCAGCGGAATTTCGGGCTCCCCAGACTCCAGGTGACCGCCAACCGTGCAGCGCACGTCGAACCCCATCCCAGGCTTCGTGGTGTCTTCGAATGGACCAGAAATTTGGGGCCCAACCCTGGAACTGATGGGGGGCGCCCATCCTCGATAGGGGTGCATCCGAATAGCCCCTTCGGGGTTTATCCCAGGAGTTCTCGACTTCCCCGAGCGGCCGAACTTTTCGGGCGGAACCCGGGGGCAAGGAGAAAATCGTTTGTCTGCGCAGGCAGACAGCAGCGACGGCCGCGACGAGGACGGCGACGGAGGCGGCGGCCCCGAACAAGAATCGGGAGCGGCTAAGAGGGGGGTGTCCAAGAGGGGGGGGGGTGCAAATCATGACCGGCGGCATGTGCGCGGCCCAGCGGGGGGGCCTGGGACGTAATAAAACAAGAAGAGGCGCCACGAAATCTGGGGAAATATGGAGGCCCACGCCATGATATCCACCCCCCCCTAGTCATCACCCCCCTCTTTTCCGCCCCCGAACGAAGACGCGGCGACAAAGAGCAGCGGAACACCGGTGTTGCATCTTCGGGGGACCTTGTCTGCCCCGTCGCGCCGCGATCCACGTCGAGTCGGTGTCGAACTCGCGTCGGAGCCGCGCCAAATCCGCGCCGAGGCCGCATGGGGCCCGCGCCGAGCAACGAGAGAAGACACCGACCGTCGACCTCGAGGACGAGCGAGGTCCCCCCAAGCTGCAGCGTAAGAATCAGGGGGACGTAAGACCTGGGTACAGGGGACTCGGAAATCCCAGACGAGGTCGTTCAAAAAAATGACGAGGCCGAGCCTGCATTTTGACGAGGCCTCCCGCTGCAGACATCCCACGAAACTCCTCCTCGACAAAATCCGAGGCGCGGTCGTCAAAGAACGATGGCGAACCCGAGTCCTGGCAAACCCGGGTCTTACGCTCCCCCGAAAGAAGACGACCGCCCGGCCCGCGCGCCTTGAGGCTGATCTTGACGCCCGGCCCCGCCACGTCCGCGGCGCGCGCCCGGAACGTCAGGGTGTCGCTGAACCGCCACGGGCACTCGCGCCTCGGCCAGCCGGGGAGGTCTCCAGAGGCGAGGATCGGCGGCGGCGCGAGGGGAGGGGGGGGAATGAGGCGGAGAGGGCCCTGCGAGAAGGAGGCGGGACTTCCCAGGAAGCCTCGCGCCTCCTGAGGCGCCTCCTGTGTCTCCCGGGAGGGCTCCGGAGACTCCTCGGAAGTCGCCTGCGTCTTCCGGGCCTTCTGAGAAGGCCTTCTGCTTCTCACTTCCCCCTGGACTCGCCGCCGAAATGAGGACTCGCGGGCCACCAAACGGTGCGGTGACCACACCCAGTGGTGAGTCGGTGGGGATTCATCTGCCACCACTGATCTGCATTCCCTGCACGGGGACACAAACAGCCAGGACCAGCTCACCATCAGGGAGACAAACCAATTCATACATGACCTAGGTCGCGTTAACCAAAAAGCGACAAGATCGCACAATGCTGGACTCCAAGGTCGAGACACTCGCGGACGAGACTACGTTCGACACGTTCGCCGTTGAGGTGACAGCGAGCACATCTGCCTGGTCAGCCTCCATATGAGAGTTGCATCTTCCTGCTTTTACGTCACCCCCAGGCCTATTTGATGACGAGGTTCCGTGGTCACGACTGGAGGCTATTGCGATATGTCGTCCCATGATTCTGCGACTGGCTTCGGAGCATGCCAAGGCCAAGGAGGAAGAGCAGGCAACTAAACAAAACAGTAGCACAATAATGATTTGTTTGATGGCAACCCAACCGTCCGTGAGATTCGCAACGGCCGTGAAGCAGGTGGTTACGGGAAAGCCGTCTCGCGTGTACTGGGCCTCGTATCATGTTGGTTTTACTGCTGCGGAGTGCGTGACGAATGATTCAGCCAAGCAGTCTGGCAAGAAACCAAAACGAGCGTTCACGACGTACAGTCACGACGGAAGGAAGACCGCACTACAGCTCCACGACCAAAAAACGGCCCGTCCCCAGGTCCTGGCAAAGGACCTGGGGGCACTGCGCCGACGTGGAAAGACGGCACCAAGGCGACAAGGGCGGGGAGGGCAAATCGATAGCAGTGGACAGAGACGAAGGCAGGTGCAAACACGACATGACTGGCAAAGGTACGAACAATAACTACAACAACGAGAATATGGGGTACCCTCGCCGCGGCAAGAAATATCAAGCTCGTCGAGGGCATGCCGCACGGTGATCTTGAGTGGCCTCTGGAAGACAGACATCGGGAGCAACTCTAGATGTGTCGATGCGTCGGCAGCGTCCTGCAGGCGTCCAACTTCCGGCCAAGCTCCTTTGCCTGTAACCTTTCTCCTCTCCCGATTCCACAGCAAGCACACGTTCTTGTGCCAGGGGCAGGCCGAGATAATACACCGTTAGCGTAATTTCATTAGCATGTCGGCAGCTTCGTGACCTCCCGTGGGTTCCTGTCCTCACAGACAAAGATGGGGGATCCGAATTGGTCGTCGAAGACGTGCTGATCCAGTCTATTCGGGCGTAGGTGGTTGAGGGTGTTTCCTCTTCCACCCCCTTCTTCCCCTTCGGGGAGGGGTTTACCCCTCCCCCTAACCCTCACCTGGACATGGAAGGGGCCTTCCGCGAGTCGCCTGAGCGAGGAAGCCAATCTCATTAGTTTTACTACGGTTTTGGCTCCATTTTGGCCTCTTGGGGGGCGCTAGTTAAGATCCTCTCTTCTTTGATCGATCTCCTCCGAGATGGACCCAAGAGCGCTCCCACGGCTCCCTAGGGTGCCCCGAGAGGGCTCCAAGAGGTGGCCAGGAGGCCCCCAAGAGGCTCCAAGGATGCCCCCAAAAGGCTCCCAAGAGACCCGAGGCCCCAAGAGGCCCCCGCACCCAAGACGCTCCAAGAGACCTCGGCAAGAATACCACAGCCGTTTGATTTGACCAAGGTTTTGGCAACAAATTTGGCCTCCTGGGGGGGGGGGGTGGGCACTGCTTAAGATGACTCCAAGAGCGCCTGGGAGAGCCCAAGAATGACCTCCAAGATGGCTCAAGATATCCCAAGATGCCTCAAGATAGCTCCCACGATGCTCCAAGAGGCCCCAAGACCGCTCCAAGACGGCTCCAAGTGGCCAAAGAGCTCCCCCAGGAGGCCCCGAAGAGGTCAAAATCCTTCCAAAACCTAAAGAAAGATCATTGTTGTTTGGCTTTCTCGCCATTTCGCCTCCGATGGCCATCCGAGGCTTCAAGATGGCTCCAAGATGGCCCAAGAGGGCTGAGCGCTCCCAATGCTCCAAAGAGCGCTTCAACAGGGCCCCAAAAGGCGCCCAAGAGGCCCCAGAAGGCCCCAACAGGCGCCCAAGAGGCATCCAAGAGGCTCCCAAGAGACCCCCAAGAGGCCCCAAGAAGCTCTCCGAGGCACCCAAGACGCTCTAAGAGGCGGCCGGGACCGCCAAGACCCCCGAGACGCTCCAAGAGGCCTCCTCTGGGGGATCCTTCCTCTGAGTGCTACCCACTTCCCAGATCGAGGCAATTCCTCTGGGCATCGGTTCTGGATGGGCTGGTGGGGTTACGCCCGCCCTCACTTAGAAGAAATTGCACTTCTTTACATACTCGGAAAAATGTCGAGTATGTCAAGATTGTTCAACAGATCTGCGCCATAGATGAACAGGTCAATGGTAGATCGCTATTGCAGATCTTGGAGGGCGGGGAGCCTAAGATGTATTGTTCTCTTGGGGAGACCCTCGAGAGGCACGAGCCCACAGAAGCATCACCTTCAGAGCACTTCACACCAGACGAGGACATACATTCAAAGGGTTGGGAGCATGGCTCTCGCACGTCCTTGTGGCAGAGGAGCAGCAGATTCCCAACATAACAGAAGACTTGATTGATATGCTAAACAACGTGGAATTCCCTGACACCACTTCCCTTCTCAAGCTCGACGTGAAAGAGTTGTTCATGTCTGGCGAGGCTGGGACGTTAATTGCTGGAGACAAACACGTGGTACCCGAACATCTCCAAGCAAAAAGGGTGAAACCAACGTCGCTTCTCTTGGACAACAAAGTCGAAGCTACCCGTTAGGACACGGACCGCGCCTAGAAAGTCTTCCGCGGCTTGGGCATGGGCATGAACCAATCTGGGGGTCTTACTGACGCGGACTTTTACCACAATCGAGCATGGCAAAGCCGAGAACAAAGTATGGTTCAGGGAATATGGTATACACGAGTATGCCAGGTATAAAGATGACAGTTTGATCTTCATCGACACGCATATGGACACTTACTGGACGTGCGTTGGTTGGCTTACAGCGGGCCCAGATGGGCCACCATCGTGCTTCGAATGCAAAGTAGAAGGCGTGTCAAGCAGGGGCACCGGCATGCTAGACATCCACATTTGATGAAAGGTCCGAAGTTTGCCAGATGCGGGAGGTTTTGACTACAGGCCCATGTGGAAGACCTCCCTGGGAGTCCTACTGGCGGCCACATCGGAGCATCTGAAAATGTGTACTGTGCGTGGCCCTTCGCTGAGTCAGCTCCTTTGCATAAACACTCGTCCAGCCAGACTCTCAGCCTGGACGAGCGCTGTGTGCTCGTCTCCGCCTGGAACGGTACAATCTTCTAACTTCTCTCCTCCAACTTTGCAAAGCTTGGACCCCGCCACCCCGCCCCCCTCCCGTCAGCACCACGTGGTTGCCCTGCATACTCGAAAGGGAAGCAGGCTGTGGCTGAGGTGCCTCTTGATTGGGTGTGGGCCAGGACGGGCGTCGCGGGCCTTCTCAATACCTGGTCCCTGAACATAACTCGTGACGTGCGCTGCCGATTTTTAGGGGGGGTGCTCGGAATCTGGCCTGCTTGGGTAGTGCAGCGAGAACCGTTTCCACTCTTGGTTCTGAGATTCGCTTCATAGGAGCGTCTCGTCTCACGATGGTTGGTTGGTTGGTGGACGGCTGTCCCCCTTGGGGGCGAAAATGAGCGCCTCGCAAGAGACATTCCCCGAATCTGCTCCGAAAGCGCAGGATGTCGGGCACCAAAACTGGCACACCGCTCGAGGCAACCCCGCCATTATGGCGCGAACGGAGGAGTGCAACACCCCCTGGCGGTTCCCCCCTTGGGGGTGCTGAAACCAGCGCAGTCATGTCCACGGTCGATGCAATGGACCATTTTGCGGCTCCGGTGGCGCTAACACCGCCCGAGGCCCAGCAGGCCAGCATAGCGCTTGGACGGCTGTTTTCCAATAGTTCTGGAAAGGCCAGCGCCCGTGGATAAAACATGTTTCGATTCGTCACCTCTTATCTCGTTGGGCCCTCTCAGAAGGCGGCGGACCTTCTCAAAGCACTCGCGCCTTCTGACACAATTTATGCGTCCCAGGAGAAGGCTCAGAAGTCTTCTCAGAAGTTCGGGGGGCTTCCGAACAATCTGAGAAGACCTTCTCCTTCTCACTTCCCCCCTGGGCTCGCCGCCGGAATGAGGACTCGCGGGCCCCCAAGCGGTGCGGTGGCCACACCCAGGTGGTGAGTCAGTGGGGATTCGGGGTCACCGCTGCCCAAGAAACGATACTCCAGATTTCGTAATAAAGGGAGGGGGGTCTCATTTCGGGGGGGGTCTCTTCCAGGCTATCTTGGAGGGCCTGGGGTGGTCTGGGGACGATGTTTTGGAGGGTTCTCCCACGAGGGGGGGTCTGAAATGGCTTGTCTTGGAGGGTCCAGACCCCCTCCTTTTTATTACGAAATCTGGAGTACAGTCGGACCCTGGCCAGAAGAGCGTCCCTCACCAACAGGAGAGCGTCCCTCACGGCCAAGCTGCACAAAAACATCGGAGGGTGCCCACCCCCGGGGTGCACACGATCAGCCAGCCAAGCACGGAGAACGCCAGGGGTACCCTCCCCGAGCCGACCTCGATCGTATGCCTCGGTCCGGCTGTATCTAATGAGGACTCGCGGGCCCCCAAACGGTGCGGCGACTCGGGGTCACCGCGGCCCCCAGAACGGTACGCCACTCAGCGGGTTATACATGAGGGCCCGTGGACCCCAAACGGCACGCGACGTGTCACGAGGACTCGCAAGCCTCCCAACGGGTGCGAACAGATAGCTTCGTGGTCACGCTCCCTGGGTGAGCCTTCATTCGGCGGTGGACAAACCTCCCTTTAGTAAACCTCCCTAGAACCGAAAACCTCCCTAGAATGAAAACGGCCTAGAACCGAAACCGACGGACCTGGACCCGCAAACATAACGGCCGCGACGCCCTCTCGCGAACCGAAAACGGCCAATTCACTAATCGACGTGTCAGGGTTGGAGGTCCATCCACCCCCGATTCACGGGAGCCTCTGTGGGCCTCCGCGGCCCTATTAAACGTGATGCCGACCGGATTTCGTTAATAGATCGACCAGATTTCAACTGGACTTCGTCCAGATTTCGTCCTGCTTTGAGCCGGAGGTCGTCCAACAATCGACTGGATTTCGGTCAAATTTCGTCCAAATGTCGACCAAATCAAACGGAATCCGAACGACAACCGAACGACATCCGAACCTCGGCCCGCCAACCGCCGGGGCTGTGAGGGCACGCGAGGGATGCTAAATGTATCGGCGATGCATCGGCGACGTCGGCGATGAATCGGCGACACTGGAATGGAAAATTGGACTCCACATCGAGCAGCATCGCTGATGCATCAGCGATGCGGCGCGAACCTCCGACCCCACCTGCTCCGACACCATCTGGGATGCCTGGACTCTGAGACTCTCGTGAAGGACAACACAAACGTTCTTGGGAACACCGAAATGATACCGATACCGCTACCCTCTGGGCCTCTCCCCGGATGCGTTCTGACCAGAACTTTCCAAATCCAGCCATGGCGACGAGGGCCTCCCACGAGGATGAGAGGACCTCGATCCCTCCTTTTCCACGTCCTCATCCTCCTCCTTCTTCCCCTCCTTTTCCACGTCGTCCTTCTCTTGCTCCTGCTCCTGCTCCTGCTCTTTCTCCTCCTCCTCCTCCTCCTCGCTGGTCCCGTCGCCGACTCCTCCCTACAGCAGTAGGCCTGGGCCCGACGCCGCTAGAGACCGCCGCAGGCCCGCATGCGTACCGTCGCGTCTCGATGAGAGTGCACGCTCCCCTCCTCCAGCAACAATAGAGGCCTCCCGGACCGAGTCCGAGTACATGGGGTCGGGGGATCGCGCCGCATCGGCGATGCATCGCCGACCTGGGTGCTTTGACCCCATCTACTTCGATCCCATCTGCGGGACCTAGAGACAACCGCCCCCGTCCTTGCCCGCATCCCATGGGCCCATGTGATCCGACTTGACGGAAAAGCTGCAACACCGCGAAAATGAACGACCAGAGCCCAAGATCTAAACTTCTGCGCCTGTTTTTGAGTCAGGATCGATATGTGAGGGCCCCAGGGCCCCAAACCGGGCGACAACGCCCAGCCAGCTCGAGAAAAAGTAAGTCCGATCCTCCCCTTCGGGAGCTGCTGCAGATGCTACTGGCTAAAAGAGCCTGTAGTTCATCGCTCCACTCCGGGTCCCCCGGGGCGCGCTGGGCCTGGTGATGCGGGGGCCTCCTTGTAAAGCCTGGAGGCACCTTGTAAGGAACCGAACTTTACACACCGATGCTTTTGTCTGGTCCCGCACTGGGATTCGCACAAGAAAGCGGATTATGGTGCATACGGCATCCTGGTGTATACATTTGTTTTTGTTTTTTCCCACGGGACAACGGGGAAAAACAAGTATACACCACACCACCCCGACGTCGTCCCCGACCCTGAAGAAGTCCTGGGATTGAAAAACCGCCCGCCACTGGCAGCGGATGTGCTCCAGCTTCCGACCTTGGGCCCATGGGGCACTGCTGGCTCCCCTCGAGGGCAGCCCCGGTCTGGGCCCGAAGCTGGGCGCCCCAGGGCCTGCCACGTCGGAGCGTGGCCGGTCTGGGCCCCCCGCCCGCGCAGGGGCGCCCGGGCGGGGAGGCCGGACCAGGGCCTCCTCGAGGCCCCAAGCCCGCGGGGTAACGGCGGGCCGGGCGAAAGGGGGGGATAGCAAAGGGGGGGGGGCTGAGAATCAGCTCACGTATAGCTGATCTCCCCGGCGCCTCCCGGCGCCAGAGGCGGCTGCGTATCGAGGAATGGGCCCCTCGGTGAGGCCGAAACCGGCTGCATGCAGCAAGTTTCGTACCCCCCCCTTTCCCAATCCCCCCCTTTCGTCCGGCCCATTAACGGGACCGCGCGGTGAGATCCCCTGGCGGCGCGCGCAGGAGGGCAGGTGGAGGGGGAAGGCTTCTCAGAAGCACCCCTGCTTCCGAGAAGGCGCGGGCCTCACACCCGAAGGCCCGCGCCTGCTCCTCTAAGAAGCGGGCATGTCTCCAGGAAGCCTTCCCCCATACCCTGCCCCCCTCTGCGCGTGGCAGAGTCTCTAAGACTTTCGAGGTCACCGCGCGGTCTGTCACCACAAGGTGTTGGGGTGTCCAAAAGTCGGGTGTCCAAGAGGGGGTTTCGCAAACCATGGCCGGAAAACGTGCGCGGCCTTGGGCCAAGGAACGCATTGGAATTAGAAGAGGGGCCACGAATTCCACGGATATATCATAGCCCGACCATATCGGCGAGTGCGAGAGGCTCTTTCGTTTGAGTCGTCGTCGTCGCCGTCGTCGTCGCAGGCTCCGCTCCCCCCTTGTCCCTTGGCCCTCCTCCTTAAGCGCACCAGCCGAATCAAAACAGCCCAAGCGAAATTGAGCAACCCCGTAGTTGAGTCGAAGAAAAGCCCCTTCCAGTTTATCCCTTCCCCGCAGGGGGGGGGAGGGATCCCAGGAGAGGTGGGGCTAGGAGGTTGGCCCAAGGGGTGGTCCTGGGTCAGAATACCCCCCCTCGGGGGGTCCCTGGGCCGAAGAGGGTCCCCTGGCGGAAGAGGCCCCCCAGAAGCCCCCACGAGGCCCCCAGGCGCCCCCGAGGAACCGCCAGGAAGCCCCAGGAGGCTCCCGAAAGGCTCCCAAGCCACCCCCAAAACTTCGTGGGGATTCTTGGGCACCTCTTGGAGGACTCGTGTAGCCTCTTGGACACTCTTGGGAGCGTCTGATCCAGACCTTCCCGAATGCCTCGTCAATCGGGGAGCGTCGTTCAGGGTCGGCGGCACTGGCCGTACAGCCTCAGGAACAAGAAGAGGGGCCACGAAATCCGAGGAGATATCATGGCACCCGCCATGACATCCACCCCCCCCAGTCATCACGCCCCTCTTTCGGCGATGAACCCGGGGGGAAGTGAGGAGGGGCGGGCCTTCTCAGAAGGCTCGGCTTTCTGAGAAGTCTTCAACATGCCTACCCCGAGAAGACCGCAAGAGGAGGAGGAGGAGGAGGAGGAGGAGGAGGAGGAGGAGGAAGCAGGGCTTCTGAGAAGCCCCGCGGCCGTCTGGAAAGGCCTTCTCCCTCTCACCTCCCCCCCGAGCGCCGCCGATCCTCGGCCGCCGAGCCCCCCCGCGCCCGCGAGAGGCGCGCGGGGGCGCGCCGCGCGCACGCGACCGCGGCCCCCCCCCGAGGGCCCGCACCAGGCTGCGCCCTCGGGCTCTCGCGCGAAGTCGGCGAACTCCGTCGCCTGCCCCCCCCTGCCCCCCCTTCGGCCGCCCGCCCCCGCCGCACTCTACTCCTGCCTTGTGGCACGGTGCGCTGCGACGGTGCCCCCGTTTGGGTGGCTCTTCCGCCAGCGCAGTTCCTCTGTCTAGCCCCCCGACGCAAAAAAGTTCTAGCATGGGGGATGCGGGTCCTGAGGGCATCGGGTCCTGGACCCCGGAGCCTTCTCCCGGGACGGATCTCTTCACCCGGGGTCGCTTTCTGACAGTCCCGGGGCCCGTGGAGGGCCCTGGGAAGCCGGAAACGGCGAAAAGCCTGAGGACCCGTTTCCCTCAGGACCCGTTTCCCCCATGGCGACCTGTTCCTCGTCCTCCTCGTGCTCCTCCTCGTCGTGCTCCTGCTCTTCCTCGTCAACCTCGTCCTCTCCTCGTGCTCCTCTCTAGTCCGCGTGCTCCTCTTCGCCCTCCTCCTCGTCTTTGCCCTCCTCCTCGTCCTCCTGGTCCCTCTGCTCGGAAGCATCCTTGTTCTGGTCCTCCTCCTTGATATGATCATATCCATCATCTTTTCGTCGGCGACCTCCTCCTCCGTACGCTCTTCTCGCAACTAACTCCTCCGCCGCACCCGCAGACGCTTCGGTGGGGCAGGCCGGGCGTTTCGCCTGGGACTTCCTCAATGTTTTGGGATCCCGAAGCTTGAAGATGGCCGCGGTTCTGCGGGTGGAGGGCGGGCCGTGTTCAGATATGGCTCTCGCCGTGGCGCCGCGCACACTCGCCTTAGAAAAGCCCCAAGAGGCCCACACGAGGCTTCCAAGCGGCCCCTGAGAGCTTCCCAAGAGGCCCACAAACTACCCCCAAGAGGCCCCCAAGAGCGCTCGTCGTCGTCGTCGTCGTCGTCGTCGCCATTCAGGGTCGGCGGCACCGGCCGTAAGGCCTTCGCAATATGGCTCTCGCCGTGGCGCCGCGCACGCTCGCCTCCGAAATTTGCACCAGTTCCACGGGTGGAGGGCGGTTGCCTTTCTGCGCGGGGCTCTCGCCTCGGCGCCGCGCCGCGCGCGTCCGCCGTGGGAGGTTCGTCGTGGCTCCAAGGGTGGAGGGTGGCTGACTTCCAAGCTGTGGTTTTCACCTTGGAGCCGCACGCACTCGCCCTGAGCATTCGCAACAGCCTCAAGGATCGAGGGCGGTCCCTTTTCAAAACGTGGATCTCGCCCAAACGCGCTGCACCATCGTACAGTTTGCCAGCCGTGCATGTCATCGTGTGGTCGAAAGTCCCAGGAATGGTGTTCCGCAGGATTTAAGATTGTCAGCACGCGCCTCCTCCTCCTCCTCCTCCTCCTCCTCCTCCTCCTCCTCCGCCTCCGCCTCCTCCTCCTCCTCCGCCTCCTCCGCCTCCTCCTCCTCCTCCTTCTCCTCCTCCTCCTCCTCCTCCTCCTCCTCCTCCAGCAGTGAAAGTACTTCGCGGCGCTGGACTCCCAGGGATGGTGCTCTGGCACGGTCTAGGAATGTCGCACTGATCCGCGGCGTTGCAGTCCCGGGAGCGATGCTTTTTCGTACGATATGGACGGTCCTGAGACAATGGTCTTGATGGGCCACTTCCCGCAAGGAATGACAAATTCGCAGGGATCTATGGAGGAGGGTTGGTTGCAACATCGCTGATGCGCCTTGGGTTTGCACTGGTCCTCCTCCTCCTCCTTCTCCTCTCCGCCGTCCTCCCGTCGTCTCTCCTCCCTATCATCCCCCGATCTTCGTATGTATCCTCCTCCCCCTTCTCCTGCAGGTCTCTATCATCAGCACCCTGACCTTGCCTCAGTCATCGTCATTACTATGCCGTTCCCATCTCCACACATACTGGACCATATCATGTCTTTCACACTACAACCTCCGCAATCCGCATTCGATGTCCCAGCATAGGCGATTCGTCTTCATGTTCCCACTATCGAATATCATAGTCCTATCTGCCTTCCCCTCCGCGTCATTGCTGTCGTAACTTTTTCCTGCCATTCAACATTCTTCCCTTCATCCTGGCTGATATTACGACGACCGCGATGACCACCGCCATGTCCGTTCTGAATGCCATCGGCGTCGCTGCCACTTCTTCCTGCTCGAATCAAGATTCGCAAGGTCTGGCTGCGCCTGGCTGCGTTCCAACAACCATGGCAACACTGACAGCCTCGTCAAAAACGTAATGCTCTCACACCGGGCGCGAGATCCTCGCATTCAAAGGCCGACAGGCGCGATGGCGTTTTGTTACGCCACGCCACCTGTGTAGCATGGTGCACACCGAATGCTTCGTGGCCAAAGAGGCGAACAAAAACAAATATTTTGATGTGGACCAACACATTATCAATACAGCACGATGCAATCGTACACCCTGCAGGATCAGCAACGAATCCTCTATAAAGCGGCCAGTTGTGGTCGTACTTACGGATAGTTGCACTCCAAATTCAGCGGAAACTTCATACAATAGAAACCGTGAAACCGTGCTTAAATGGGAGTTCTGCCAGAGCGGCGCTGCCGATCGGCAGTTCATGAAAGAGGTCAACACTGGAAAACCACGGGAAAGGAGACCATGGAACCAGCATGCTGGCCACACCAGGAGTGATCGGAACCTCGGCAGGGGGGAACGAAGCGTTGGCCATCACATGTCATTGACTCGGTGCGGTCGCACTACGATTGGCGCACAGCTACATGGCGACAGACTTGCGCATTGGTTGACCGCCACCACGCCGTCGGCGGATGCTGTGCCAAGGCTTCGCGTATGTCCGACTCTCTCGTCTTGCAAAGCGCAACCAGGGAACAGGAGCCCCGCCGCCTTCTGAGAAGGCCTGCCCTTTCTCACTTCCCCCCTTCTGGACCCGCCGCCGATTCCCAATGACCACTTACATTCCTGCACGTTCTTACGGTGGCTGGCAACATCGCCTGGCGGCCGCTTGGGTCCCCACGGGTTCCTACGGGTGGTCCCGCGCATTATCGTTGTGGGCACTTGGCTTCCTGCAGGGTTCACAATTGGAGGCCGCCGAACTTCCCAAGGGCCGCGTGGATTCCCATACGTTCCAGTGGCAAAAAAATGGGCCATACAACTTACGCCCCAGACCTTGCGGCCTCGAGGGTGCACCACACATATTTCTCCCCCCTATAAAACGGACTATAATATACTCCCCCCATCCACCCAGCCTGGGGTGCACTGCATCCCTGCGCTCACTGTGATTCGCTTGTGTTGCACTAGATGATTCACGTAGCATATCAAATTACCATCCCTGGCCAATCAATACCGTCCCAAACCCCGTCAGTGGTAAAGCATACGATCCGGTGCACATGCGTCGGTACTCGAAACGCCCTTCCCCAAATAGTGATTGCACTTAGGGGACCTTGGCTGTGGAGTGCCTTTGCGGGTCATTATGGTGGCTACTCCAGATTTCGTAATAAAAGGGAGGGGGTCTCAACCCTCCCAGACGAGAAGTTTTAGACCCCCCCCCGTGGGAGAACCCTCCAAAACATCGTCCCCAGATCCCCCCCAGGCCCTCCAAGATAGCCTGGAAGAGACCCCCCCCGAAATGAGACCCCCCTCCCTTTTATTACGAAATCTGGAGTATGTTCGCCCCGTCGCCGCCCCGTCGCCGCCCGTCGCCGCCGCCCTGTAGCCGCCTCGCCGCCGCTCGTCGTCTGGGCCTGCCGGTCGGACGGGCGGCTGTGTTCTCGCCGTCGCCTTCCCGCCGCCGACGCGTCGCCACGGCCCCGTTGCAATCGCAATGCTTCGGATTGCTTCGCGTGGCTTTGCGTTGCGCCGCGTCGCTTTAGGACTGTCTTGAATTGCGTTGCGGTGCGTCGCAGTGCTTTGGAGTTCAACCACCTTGCTCTACTTTACGTTGCTGAGCATTGCGTTGCGCTGCTATCGCATTGATGTGTGTTGCTATGTTTTGCTTGCTTTACGTTACGTTGCGTTGAAGTGTAGTCGCAGTGCACTGCTTTGCATTGATTTGCATTGTGTTGCATTACCTTATATTGATTTGCAGTGCGTCCCAGTATTCACATTGTGCGCGATGCGTTCCATGTATTTGCATTGCTGCGCATTGCTGTGTATTGTTTTGCACAACTAATGAATTGCACCGCCTAGGTTGCACCAGGGTGATGGATAAGCCTAGATTGCACCGCATAGATTGAAAGACATCGCTGTGTTGGGTCCACGCTGACCAATCTTTCTTAACTCGAATCGCCCATGGCGAACTAAATGCACTGCGCGGCGTGTCGGAGCCCACAGACTACAAAAAACTGGCTGCCTAACAATTTCAATAAACGGCGGCTTACGAGCTGTCAAGACCAACTGCGTGTTCAATCCATGAGCGCGGGCACCCGCGCCGAAATCCGAAGAACTGTATGTACGTCAAGTAAACCATGCGGGCCACATGCACGCACATATCGAAACAGCTTTCAACAACCACCGCGTGCCCGCAAACTGTCAACGAAAACAATGCGGGCCGCATCGGGCCACTCACGCCAGCCGCCGTATGCGTACGTCGCAATCCTGCCGGCAGCATTTGCCGTCTACAAATTTCAACATGAGAAATAGAAATGCTACCAGAACTCTGAACTTGTACGGACACGCACTTCCTCCTCATCACAATCAGCACAACCCGTACGCATGATCATTGTTAGAATCACCATTGCCATCACCATCAACACCATCATCATCAACAGCTCTTCATCATCATCATTAGCATCATCATCGTCATCATCACCATCAGCATCATCAGCATGATCATCATCATCATCATCGTCGTCATCATCATCCCACGTACTCATCATCATCACCATCACCATCATCAGCATTATCAGCAACATCATCACCGTCGCCAGCAACATCATCACCATCATTATCATCATAAGTATCATCGTCATCATCATCATCATCATCGTCATTGTCATCGTCATCATCATCATCACCATCATCATGGCCATGGTCATCTTCATATTCATCATCAACATCACCATCATCAATTTTCGCATTATCATCAGCAGCACCATCATCAAC